CCTCCTGTGTCCACCGACATACCAGCCTCAGCCATTGCTACTGCCTGGCTCCCCACTTCTTGCCCCTGCTCTTCACACTGAGGTGACTGAGTCCCAGACTGAGCGTCGTGAGCCTGAGACTTGTGCTTCCACACCTGTTACTGAGTCTGAGTCTGTCTGTCCTCCGTCCGTCGGGGGTGAGCTTGCCCTTGGCAGTGTCGTACTTGAGGACAGACAGTTTGACCTTGAGTGTCTTGCAGCCGCTTTACCTCGTTTCGCATCCATGCTGCTTTGCCCTAAGGGAGACCCGGATGCACTTGACATCCCTACCCCGCGCTCTTACGCTGAGGCGATCGCGGGTGAGTACTCCTCTCAGTGGCAGACAGCCATGGACGCAGAGATGGCTTCTTGGAAGTCCACAGGCACCTACATCGACGAGGTTCCTCCTCCCGGGGCGAACATAGTCGATGGCATGTGGATTTTCAGAGTGAAGCGGCCGTCGGGTTCTCCGCCTGCCTTCAAGGCACGTTACGTTGCTCGAGGCTTCAGTCAGCGACAGGGGGTCGACTTCTTCCAGACCTTCTCCCCCACCCTGGAGATGACTACTCTTCAGGTGCTGCTGCACGTTGCAGCACAGCGTGACTACGAGCTGCACTCCCTCGACTTCTCCACAGCTTTCCTGCAGGGCAGCCTTCACGAGGAGATCTGGCTGCGCTGCCCACCCGGCTTCACTGGGTCGTTTATTGTGGGTACCCAGTGGAGCCTCCGGCGGCCAGTCTACGGTCTCCGCCAGGCGCCCCGAGAGTGGCACGACACACTGAGGACTACACTTGCGGCTCTTGGGTTTGCTCCTTCCTCTGCTGACCCGTCGCTGTTTCTACACACCGACACTACCCTGCCGCCGCTCTACGTTCTAGTGTACGTCGACGATTTGGTTTTTGCTACTGCTGACACTGAGGCGCTGGCCCTGGTGAAGGCGGAGTTGCAGAATACATACACCTGCACTGACCTGGGTGAGCTGCGTAGCTATCTTGGCTTGCAGATCACCCGGAACAGAGCACGGCGCACCATCAGCCTGACTCAGTCACACATGGTGCACCAGCTCCTTCAGCGCTTGGGCTTCCGGTTCTCCTTGCCACAGCCCACTCCTCTGTCTACCGGCCACTCGCTCTCAGCTCCACCTTCAGACGAGTCCGTAGAGCCAAGTGGTCCGTACCCATAACTTGTGGGTTGCCTCATGTACCTGATGACGTGCACACGACCTGACCTCGCGTACCCTCTCAGCCCCCTGGCTCGCTACGTGGCTCTCGGTAGACACCGAAAGGTGCACTGGGATGCTGCGAAGAGGGTACTGCATTACTTGTGCAGTACATCAGGCATGGGGCTCGTGCTTGGAGGACAGGGTTCAGTGGTACTCACAGGACACTCCGACACTTCTTGGGCTGACGACCAGGCGACTCAGCGTTCGTCACAGGGTTACACCTTCAGTCTTGGCTCTGGTTCTGTCTCGTGGAGGTCCACTCGTTCTTCTTTTGTGCTTAGTTACAGCTATGAGGCCGAGATCTACGCTGGGGCCATGGCTGCACAAGAGCTACACTGGCTGACCTACCTGCTGACCGACTTGGGGGAGCGGCCTCGTTCTTCTCCAGTTCTGTACGTCGACAACAAGGCAATGCTTGCCTTGTCTCACGAGCAGAGACTGGAGCACAGAACGAAGCACATTGCTCTTCGCTACTTCCTTGCGCGTGAGCTGCAGTAGCGTCGTCAGCTCCGCCTTTACTACGTTGCCTCGTGGGCCAACACTGCTGATGTGTTCACCAAGGCCCTTGGGTCTGGTGATCATCAGCGTTTCTGCACTGCTCTTGGGCTTGTGCCCACTCTGCGTCACCTGCTTGTTGCTTGACTTGCTCTTGTTGTACACTGATATATATATTTATACCTGCTTGTTTACTCTTGCTAGGTTATGATCAGTGTAGTGCCTTGCAATTATAACTCTGCATGTGAACTGGCCTTGTGGCCGCTTGCTTGTGCTCATATTGTGTGGTGTCCTTGAGATCCACCCTGAGCTTTGCTTTGCTTGTTCTCTTGCTTGACTGGTCTTGTGACCGTCTGTTGTGTTTGCTATCTCCCACGGGGCCTATGGGGGTGTGTCAAACTATATGTTTGTGTTCTCTCTACGCTATAGTGGGTTAGCCTACAAGGGGTATAACACGTTAGGGTTAGTGGTTGTATCCAACTCATTCATAGTTCATTCATTCGTGCACGGGTATTCTGACACCTTTTCCTGACGAGCCCTTTGAGTCTAATGGCCCCTACGCAGAGCTTGTGGGCTGCCTCATGTACCTGATGACTTGTACTCGGCCGGACCTCGCCTTTCCCCTCAGCGTCCTCTCTTGCTTTGTTGCGACTGGGAGGCACCGTCTTGTTCACTGGACCGCTGCTGTGAGGGTGGCGAAGTACTTGGCGACTACATCAGGCATGGGGCTTGTGCTTGGAGGGACACAACCAGTTGTGTTGACCGGTCACTACGACTCTTCTTACGCCGACGACGTGGAGACTCAGCGTTCAACTCAGGGTTACTGCTTCAGTCTGGGTGCTGGTGTTGTGTCGTGGAGGTCTACACAGTCGTCGTCCGTGGCTTCGTCCAGTCCAGAGGTAGAGATCTACGCTGGTGCCATGGCGGCACAGGAGCTTCGCTGGTTCACATTCTTGCTCGCCGACCTTGGTGAGCGGCCTCGCTCTGCACCGACCTTGTACGCTGACAACAAGGCCATGGTCCTCCTGTATCGAGAGCCTCGACTGGAGAGCAGAGTGAAGCATGTCAAAGTAGCTAGTTAATCTTAGGACCCATTGCTAGGGTTGATGGAACTAGCATGAGTATCGAGAGAGTTTAGCAAAGGAGAAAGGTGGTTTCACTATAGCAAAACAGGAACATATTTAGGGAAGGAGGGGGGTGCACCACCAAAACAAGAAGCATATAGCTACACTAGGATCTACTGTAGGCAGGTATATTAATGTATACAAATACATTTCAACATACCCCCTAGCTACCTACAGTGAGAACCATGTGCAACAGCACCCCCTGAAGGGGTACACCAGGCGCAGCGGAGGAAGGAGAGGGCAAGTGACGAGGAGGAGGGACCATGAGAGGAGAGGAGGTGGTGGGTGGCGGCTGAAGCCGCTGGCACACGGGCAACTGGAGCAACTGGCACACTGGCAACTAGAGCAACTGGCACACGGGCAACTGGAGTAACTGGCTCCGCGACTAGACGAGCGGCTGGAGCAATTGACTCACGGGCGACAGGAGCAACGGGCTCACGGACGACTGGCGCAACGGTCTCACGGGCGACTGGAGCTGCTGGCTTCACGGCGTCCACCCCCCTTCAACCTCCCCCATTTTCCCAAAAATCCCTTCCACACCCCTCAGCATCCCTACCGCCACTCCCTCATCTCCCCTACACCCTCCCCCCCCACAGCGGCATGTGCAGTAGTGGGAGAGAGAGGAGGAGAGGCGGCAGCTGATTACTCACACCCGCCACCCCAATACCCTCCCCCCCACTGCTGCACGCGCAGCAGGGGAATGGAGGAGAAGGGGGGGCGGGGGGGCGGTTCAGGAGCTGCGTGGGCAGCAGCAGGGCGCGCGACGAGCACGAAATCGACGCACGCCCGGGGCGCGCGACGGGCAGCAGAGTGGCGCATTAGCGGAAGCGAAGGGTGGGCCCAATGAGGCAGGTCCTAGGAGGAACCTGGCTCTGATAGCATGTCAAAGTAGCTACGGTAGTTAATCTTAGGACCCATGGCTAGGGTTGATGGAACTAGCATGAGTATCGAGAGAGTTTAGCAAAGGAGAAAGGTGGTTTCACTATAGCAAAACAGGAACAAATGTGGAGAAGGAGGGGGGTGCACCACCAAAACAAGAAGCATATAGCTACACTAGGATGTACAGTAGGCAGGTATATGGTAATTTGTATACAAATACATTTCAGCAAAGCATATTGACGTGAGGTACTTCCTCCTGCGAGAGTTGCAGCGACGCGGCCAAGCACGCTTGGACTTTGTGGCCTCAGAGGCCAACACCGCCGACATCTTCACCAAGGCCTTGGCGCCTGGTGACCACCACAGGTTCTGTGTGCAGTTAGGGCTTGTTGAGGTAGGCCCTCAGTTGTTGTAGACTTGCTGTTTGATCTGTTTATTGTGCTTCTATATATACTAGTAAACTCTTGAACTGGCCTTGTGGCCACTTGCTTGTGCTCGGAGTGTGCGGTGACTCTGAGCGCCACCCTGAGCTTTGATTTGTTGCTTGCACTTGACTGGTCTTGTGACCGTTGTTCCCCTTGCGAGTTCTTAGATGCACCTCACTTAGCCTATGGATGGGGGTGTGTCAAATAATGTTCATATGCATTGTTAGGTTTCTAAGCTATAGTGAGTTGCCCTTAGAGGGTACAACCCATCCTAGGTTAACTTTTGTATCCCCCTCTACTTTCCATCTCGCACATTTCTCTCGACACTTGTTCCTAGCCTATTTAAAACCAGGGTGCACATTCATAATGGGTGTACTCCCATCGGAAAGAAATTGGTGTTCGGCGAAAAAAGTTTGGCAGGAACGAAAATACACTAGGAAGAATGGATGTGGCGAGAAATACGAAAGTGGGCGAATTGTGGCTCACTGAATTAAATCTGCGCCTGCCTGCAGCTAGGGGCTGCGGAACGACCTTCCATTTCCGCCACCCTCCCAGACACCATAGTGATGAGTGAAGAAAACGTCTCGCACTGTCTCGCCACACCAACCAACCGCCAATACACATCAGGAACCAGGCGCCGGAGAATGTGAATAGGCAAGCAACGCGCATTTCTTCTAATGACGCGAAGGGATTATGTTTAGGGTTATAAGAGATAGGGTTAGGCGAAATGTGTGGAATCGCAGCGAGTGTGTTTAGATATATAGAACCATCGTGGCAGGACACCAATGGGGAGGGAACCGGGCAGCACAACAAGGATTTCGTCAGTGGAGAGCCCCCCAAATGACATATGATTATGGGGCGTGGAGGTGCGGAGGCGGCATGTTGCATTATCGCCATAGAACAGCGCGAAAAGTAGGGTAGAAAGGCATAAAACTCGCAAACCGAAGAATAGGGTAACGGTAGGAAGGCGACGCGTGACTCATCGCCCGCACCCGCACCGTGACTACTGTCCACGCGACAAGAAGACATTCGCGCGGTCGACTTTGAAAAATAAAAAGGTGGCCATCTATGTAACCATTTCCACACGCAGCCCTTACTTGCATTCTCCACGCCCCTCACTCTCATTGTATTACCCAACACCGGCACTTACTTTCCCCCACCCAGCTATTCAGTTTCCCCCATGCAGCTGTTTACTACCCCCCAGCAGGCTATTTACTTCCCTCCATCCAGCTACCTACTTCCCCCCATCCAGCGTCTACCATCCCCCCACCCAGCTATGACCTTCCCCCCCATCCTGCTAATTACTTCTCCCCACCCAGCTTCTAACATCCCCCCATCCAACTACTAACTTTCCCCCCCAAGTAGCTACTTACTTCCCTTTCCCCCACCGCGCTACCTTCTTTCCCGGTCATTGGGCTACTTACCTCCCCCCACACAGCTACTCACTTCCCCCCACCCAGCTACTTACTTCCCCCCACACAGCTACTCACTTCCCCCCACACAGCTACTCACTTCCCCCCACACAGCTACTCACTTCCCCCCACCCAGCTACTCACTTCCCCCCACACAGCTACTCACTTCCCCCCACCTAGCTACTCACTTCCCCCCACACAGCTACTCACTTCCCCCCACCCAGCTACTTACTTCCCCCCACCTAGCTACTCACTTCCCCCCACACAGCTACTCACTTCCCCCCACACAGCTACTCACTTCCCCCCACACAGCTACTCACTTCCCCCCACCCAGCTACTTACTTCCCCCCACACAGCTACTCACTTCCCCCCACACAGCTACTCACTTCCCCCCACACAGCTACTCACTTCCCCCCACCCAGCTACTCACTTCCCCCCACACAGCTACTCACTTCCCCCCACACAGCTACTCACTTCCCCTCACCCAGCTACTCACTTCCCCCCACCCAGCTACTTACTTCCCCCCACCTAGCTACTCACTTCCCCCCACACAGCTACTCACTTCCCCCCACACAGCTACTCACTTCCCCCCACACAGCTACTCACTTCCCCCCACCCAGCTACTTACTTCCCCCCACACAGCTACTCACTTCCCCCCACACAGCTACTCACTTCCCCCCACACAGCTACTCACTTCCCCCCACCCAGCTACTCACTTCCCCCCACACAGCTACTCACTTCCCCCCACACAGCTACTCACTTCCCCTCACCCAGCTACTCACTTCCCCCCACCCAGCTACTTACTTCCCCCCACCTAGCTACTCACTTCCCCCCACACAGCTACTCACTTCCCCCCACACAGCTACTCACTTCCCCCCACCCAGCTACTCACTTCCCCCCACCTAGCTACTCACTTCCCCCCACCCAGCTACTCACTTCCCCCCACCCAGCTACTTACTTCCCCCCACCTAGCTACTCACTTCCCCCCACACAGCTACTCACTTCCCCCCACACAGCTACTCACTTCCCCCCACACAGCTACTCACTTCCCCCCACCCAGCTACTCACTTCCCCCCACCCAGCTACTCGCTTCCCCCCACACAGCTACTCACTTCCCCCCACACAGCTACTCACTTCCCCCCACACAGCTACTCACTTCCCCCCACACAGCTACTCACTTCCCCTCACCCAGCTACTCACTTCCCCCCACCCAGCTACTTACTTCCCCCCACCTAGCTACTCACTTCCCCCCACACAGCTACTCACTTCCCCCCACACAGCTACTCACTTCCCCCCACCCAGCTACTCACTTCCCCCCACCCAGCTACTTACTTCCCCCCACCTAGCTACTCACTTCCCCCCACACAGCTACTCACTTCCCCCCACACAGCTACTCACTTCCCCCCACACAGCTACTCACTTCCCCCCACCCAGCTACTCACTTCCCCCCACCCAGCTACTCACTTCCCCCCACACAGCTACTCACTTCCCCCCACACAGCTACTCACTTCCCCCCACCCAGCTACTTACTTCCCCCCACCTAGCTACTCACTTCCCCCCACACAGCTACTCACTTCCCCCCACACAGCTACTCACTTCCCCCCACACAGCTACTCACTTCCCCCCACCCAGCTACTCACTTCCCCCCACCCAGCTACTCACTTCCCCCCACACAGCTACTCACTTCCCCCCACCCAGCTACTCACTTCCCCCCACCCAGCTACTTACTTCCCCCCACCTAGCTACTCACTTCCCCCCACACAGCTACTCACTTCCCCCCACACAGCTACTCACTTCCCCCCACACAGCTACTCACTTCCCCCCACACAGCTACTCACTTCCCCTCACCCAGCTACTCACTTCCCCCCACCCAGCTACTTACTTCCCCCCACCTAGCTACTCACTTCCCCCCACACAGCTACTCACTTCCCCCCACACAGCTACTCACTTCCCCCCACCCAGCTACTCACTTCCCCCCACCCAGCTACTTACTTCCCCCCACCTAGCTACTCACTTCCCCCCACACAGCTACTCACTTCCCCCCACACAGCTACTCACTTCCCCCCACACAGCTACTCACTTCCCCCCACCCAGCTACTCACTTCCCCCCACCCAGCTACTCACTTCCCCCCACACAGCTACTCACTTCCCCCCACACAGCTACTCACTTCCCCCCACCCAGCTACTTACTTCCCCCCACCTAGCTACTCACTTCCCCCCACACAGCTACTCACTTCCCCCCACACAGCTACTCACTTCCCCCCACACAGCTACTCACTTCCCCCCACCCAGCTACTCACTTCCCCCCACCCAGCTACTCACTTCCCCCCACACAGCTACTCACTTCCCCCCACCCAGCTACTCACTTCCCCCCACCCAGCTACTTACTTCCCCCCACCTAGCTACTCACTTCCCCCCACACAGCTACTCACTTCCCCCCACACAGCTACTCACTTCCCCCCACACAGCTACTCACTTCCCCCCACCCAGCTACTCACTTCCCCCCACACAGCTACTCACTTCCCCCCACACAGCTACTCACTTCCCCCCACACAGCTACTCACTTCCCCCCACACAGCTACTCACTTCCCCCCACCCAGCTACTCACTTCCCCCCACCCAGCTACTCACTTCCCCCCACCCAGCTACTTACTTCCCCCCACCCAGCTACTCACTTCCCCCCACACAGCTACTCACTTCCCCCCACCCAGCTACTCACTTCCCCCCACCCAGCTACTCACTTCCCCCCACCCAGCTACTCACTTCCCCCCACACAGCTACTCACTTCCCCCCACACAGCTACTCACTTCCCCCCACCCAGCTACTTACTTCCCCCCACCTAGCTACTCACTTCCCCCCACACAGCTACTCACTTCCCCCCACACAGCTACTCACTTCCCCCCACACAGCTACTCACTTCCCCCCACCCAGCTACTCACTTCCCCCCACCCAGCTACTCACTTCCCCCCACCCAGCTACTTACTTCCCCCCACCTAGCTACTCACTTCCCCCCACACAGCTACTCACTTCCCCCCACACAGCTACTCACTTCCCCCCACACAGCTACTCACTTCCCCCCACACAGCTACTCACTTCCCCCCACCCAGCTACTCACTTCCCCCCACCCAGCTACTCACTTCCCCCCACACAGCTACTCACTTCCCCCCACACAGCTACTCACTTCCCCCCACCCAGCTACTCACTTCCCCCCACCCAGCTACTCACTTCCCCCCACACAGCTACTCACTTCCCCCCACACAGCTACTCACTTCCCCCCACCCAGCTACTCACTTCCCCCCACACAGCTACTCACTTCCCCCCACCCAGCTACTCACTTCCCCCCACCCAGCTACTTACTTCCCCCCACCTAGCTACTCACTTCCCCCCACACAGCTACTCACTTCCCCCCACACAGCTACTCACTTCCCCCCACACAGCTACTCACTTCCCCCCACCCAGCTACTCACTTCCCCCCACCCAGCTACTCACTTCCCCCCACACAGCTACTCACTTCCCCCCACACAGCTACTCACTTCCCCCCACCCAGCTACTCACTTCCCCCCACCCAGCTACTCACTTCCCCCCACCCAGCTACTCACTTCCCCTCACCCAGCTACTCACTTCCCCCCACCCAGCTGACATCCGCCCTTGCTCCCCTCTCGTTCCCTCCACCCAGCTACTGGCCATGTCGTCTGATTGTGAGGTGCGGAGTTCTGCCCTTGAAGAGTTGCGTGACATGGCGAACAAATGCGAAGTGAAGAGTCTTGGTATTTCTAGTCACATGCAGCTGCCAATCTGTTTCCTACGGATTGGTTTGTCATGCTTGATGGGAAGGACTGCATCCATTGCCGATCTGGTGTTCTTCTTACTAATGGTGGGGGATGGGGCAATCGAGAAGCTGATGATGGCAGCAACAAGGGCTGGTGAGATGTGACGGAGTTGTGGGACAGTTTGGGGCATGTAGTTGAGATGAACAAGAAAGATTCATTAGTTCCTAATCTTTTGTTCGCGCAGGATCCGATGGGACAACCGCAGGCGAAAGCGTGAAAGTACTTCTAGCGACATTTGGTGCATCTTTCAGATGCAGGGCAGATATTGCATCAGAGGATCTATCAGATCTTACGATGCGGGATCCTTATGGCATTGCAGGTCTACGATACGGCTTTCCTGCATACACCCTGGGTCCCGATGGAGCGTTGTATCGGGATGGCCGGCGGTTTCAATGGGGTGGGGCACGGAAGGGCTCCAACTATGATGCTGGTACGCACGATCGATTCTTTTCCGAAATGCGGCGCAAGTGTGACAAGTGTGAAACCGAGACATGGATTGACATTTTTTTTCCTGGCGAATGTTGTGTCATATCACCCACAATCATGTACTTATTCGAGGCATCCCTAAACTATTATGAAACTACAATTGCCCCCACGATCTAAATTCATGGCAGCTCGACAGGATAGGCCTGTCCATGACGTCACGGCGGGTGTGGAATGGCAAGACGTGGTGATCGGGAGTGATGCGCCAGCGCGCCCAGACCAAGGCACTGTGGCTGTTGAGGTTGTGCATGAGCTGAGCGGACTGCGCGGGCCACCACCTGACTTCCGTCAGGAAACACGTTGCAATGGTGATGCAAGCCCGAGGATAGCAAGGTACTTACGTGATGAACAGAATGCGTAGAGCCCGGACCCTTCGCATGTTGATGTCCCAATGGTGCGCATTCATGTACACATTCATACGATTCAATCACTAAGTTTTGTGCACATCTACCCACCCTTCTGCTCCCGTACACCGGCAGAGCATGTGCACCCCTCCCTCCCCACAGCACTGTGGCTGTTGAGGTCGTGCACGAGCTGATCGGACGGCGCGGGCCACACTCGGACCTCCGTCAGGAAACACGTTGCAATGGTGATGCAAGCCCGATTCCAGCAAGGTACTTACGTGATGAACAGAATGCGTAGAGCCCGGACCGGACCCTTCGCATGTTGATGTCCCAATGGTGCGCATTCATGTACACATTCATACGATTCAATCACTAAGTTTTGTGCACATCTACCCACCCTTCTGCTCCCGTACACCGGCAGAGCATGTGCACCCCTCCCTCCCCACAGCACTGTGGCTGTTGAGGTCGTGCACGAGCTGATCGGACGGCGCGGGCCACACTCGGACCTCCGTCAGGAAACACGTTGCAATGGTGATGCAAGCCCGATTCCAGCAAGGTACGTACGTGTTGAACATCATGTATAGAGCCCGGACCCTTCGCATGCGTAGGGCATTCGGTGCGCATATAGTACACATTTATAATAGTTTGTTCATTAAGTGTTGCACCCATATACACACCCTTCTTCTCCCTTACAACGTCAGAGCATTTGCACCAACGCCCACCAAAACCACACCAATAAAGGGAGACGGTTGGACCATGCTTCCTCTCTTGGACGGTCTTCGCAACATCGTTTGCTTCCTTGACCCCATTCACACGCTACAGTTTTTTATGGTTTTGTCACTTCATTGTACGGGGGTGGTGGGGTGCAATGGTCGTATGAAAGTGAGGTCATGGAAATTGGGGTGGGCTGGACTTGGTTTGAAGTGGGAGTGTGACGTGTGCAGGAAGTCGATGACTTATTGGTCCATAAAACGGCAGCCACCAAACACCGATCCTTCTGTCCCTGGTCGAAAGCGTATGCCTCTGATGCAAAGGTTCATGGCGTCTTTTGCACTTGCTGGCATAGGGTATCAGGTGATGTCAGAGGTGGGTCGAAATGTAGGTGTTTGTGTACCATGTTAGACCACATTCTACAAGTATATGAGAGGGGCCGTTCGCTGTTCCTGTTCGCTATGTACCATAACTTTGATGCATTATGACTGCCCTTCATTCTTTTACTGGTCAGGTTTTGATTTAGGTGCAAGGGCAAACTCAATGTACTCGAAAAACCCTAAACCCATCACACACAGGTGATTTACTCAACACGCGATGATGAACGAAGATGGAGTGGGGGCAATGGGTGGGGCAGCAGAGGGTGGGGCAGCAGAGCGTTGGGCAACAGAGTGCATGGCAGAAGGGCACGGTGCAGCATAATAGTGTGGAGCAGCAGATAGTGGGGCAGGAGAGAGTGGGGCAGCAGAGCGTGGGGCAGGAGAGAGTGGGGCAGCAGAGCGTGGGGCAGAGAAGTGTGGGGCAGCAAAGTGTGGGGCAATTGGCCTGTGGGGCTGAAGAGCGTGGGGCAGCAGATGGTGGGGCAGCCAAGGGTCGGGGCAGCAGAGTGGCGGGCACTGGATCAGCATAGCGTGGAGCAGCAGAACGTGGGGCCGTAGAGTGTGGGGCCGCAGATTGGCCGGCAGCAGAGAGTGGGGCCGTAGAGTGTGGGGCCGCAGATTGGCCGGCAGCAGAGAGTGGGGCCGTAGAGTGTGGGGCCGCAGATTGGCCGGCAGCAGAGAGTGGGGCCGTAGAGTGTGGGGCAGCAGAGTGTGGGGCTGTATATTGTGGGGCTCTGCTGCCTGTGCTGCGTATAATACGAATCCAGCACCTGCTCTATCACCTCCATGAGCATCTCCGGTTTTCTGTGCATTGCAGCTCGACTGGATTTATGGGACCAGTGGTAGGGTATTCAAAGTGGAGGCGCGGCACGGCGTTGTCTGCTCTATGTCAACGCGGAAACAAGTGCACTAGTAAACGCGCCTCTATGTGTATCTTATGTGCCATAACGCAATGGATCACACCGTGGTGTTGTGCTTCTGACATGGTGCCAAGGGTAATTCTGTAATACCTATAACCCCCATAGTACCGTACAACCCCCAGGACTTACTATCAACCCTATTTACTATTTACCAAGATTCTGCATGTGCGTACAATAGTAAGGATCGACGTGTGTTATTGGCTCTTTTTGTCGTGTGAAATACCCCATTGCTTTATATTGACGGCTAGCATGACACGTTACAACAAATGTGTAGCTTCATCATGATGAGGGTACACCCAGATTGATATAAAATATTGCCGTGTGAGCATAGCGCTGCAGGAGCCCTGTGTGGATTCTTCGCGGCAGGTAGGCGCACCGTGTGCCTGCCGCCATTGAGGAGAATCGAGGGCACGGGTGAAAGAGGCAGAACAGAGAGGAGAGAATGGTTGCCTTGAGGAAATTGGAGGGCACGGAGGAGAGAGGATGGAATGAGAAGTGAGAGGGCAGATTGGGAGCGCCAAGGCGTGGAAGAGAGGAATTAGGGGATGAAGTGGGGAGAGAGGGGAGGAAGAGCGCACACCCATACCCACCCGCATGTGCATGCCAGATGGCGATGTGAGGTTGTTGATGACAGGCGGCACCTGTGGTATGGAGGGCACAGCGGGCATGATTGCGAGGATGTGAGGTGAGGAGTGAAGATGGGGAGCATGAGCATTGACACATGGGACATGACAGCACATGGTTCCCTGGGCAAACGGGGAAGGGGAACGCAGACCACTGGACAGAGTCGAATGGAGGGACCGGTAATTAGAGGAACAAAGGAGTTGAAGTGCCGGCATTTTGGAGATTGGAGGGCTCGAAGGAAAGAGTAGGAAGTGCAGGGCAGGGCAGGGCGATCTTGGTAATCAAGTTCGTTACATGTAAGCATGCGAGAGTAGTGCAATCCTGATGGGACTCGTGCACGCCGACACGAGTAGAAAGGAAGGGGAAGCTAATCATCTCCACCAGGAAGAGGAACAAGGGTCAGGGCGGAGCACCTGCAGTAAGGATGGGAGAGTGATGAGGAAGAGGTGAGGTCACAGATGAGAGCGACCGGCAAGAGTAGAGGGGTGAGAGTAGAGGCATGAGAGTAGAGGGGTGAGAGTAGAGGCGTGAGAGTAGAGGCGTGAGAGTAGAGGGGTGAGAGTAGAGGGGTGAGAGTAGAGGGGTGAGAGTAGAGGGGTGAGAGTAGAGGCGTGAGAGTAGAGGGGTGAGAGTAGAGGCGTGAGAGTAGAGGCGTGAGAGTAGAGGGGTGAGAGTAGAGGGGTGAGAGTAGAGGGGTGAGAGTAGAGGCGTGAGAGTAGAGGGGCGAGAGTAGAGGGGTGAGAGTAGAGGGGTGAGAGTAGAGGGGTGAGAGTAGAGGGGTGAGAGTAGAGGCGTGAGAGTAGAGGCGTGAGAGTAGAGGCGTGAGAGTAGAGGGGTGAGAGTAGAGGGGTGAGAGTAGAGGGGTGAGAGTAGAGGGGTGAGAGTAGAGGGGTGAGAGTAGAGGCGTGAGAGTAGAGGCATGAGAGTAGAGGCGTGAGAGTAGAGGCGTGAGAGTAGAGGCGTGAGAGTAGAGGGGTGAGAGTAGAGGGGTGAGAGTAGAGGGGTGAGAGTAGAGGGGTGAGAGTAGAGGAGTGAGAGTAGAGAGGCGAGGAGGCAGAGAGGCGAGGAGGCAGAGAGGCGAGGAGGCAGAGAGGCGAGGAGGCAGAGAGGCGAGGAGGCAGAGAGGCGAGGAGGCAGAGAGGCGAGGAGGCAGAGAGGCGAGGAGGAAGAGAGGCGAGGAGGCAGAGAGGCGAGGAGGCAGAGAGGCGAGGAGGCAGAGAGGCGAGGAGGCAGAGAGGCGAGGAGGCATAGAGGCAAGGAGGCGTGGTGGCGAGGATGCGAGGGTCGGGGCTGCAGCTGCTCGTGCTGAGTGGTGTGGTGGGTATTGAAAGAGGAGGATGAGTGTGGTGGTGTCGAGAGGGTCAGGTGAGAGTGAGACTGCAGGCATGGAGGGCTGGGGAGGGGAAGGAGAGAAGGGGTTTTTGCGGTGACGCTGAGTGAGAGGGGGAGGAGGAAGCGTGATGTGGTGCCGAAATCGAAGGCGGCGGAGAGAGGGATTGGCGGGAAAGTAGGGTGATGGGGTGGGGGAAGAGGAACGGGTGGGAAAGTAAAAGTGGGGAAGGGCACCCTGGTGCGGTGGCGTGCTGGCGGGGTGGAAACTTGGCGTGGAGGCGAGGAGGCGAGGTGGCGCTCCCGCGAAGAGGCGCGGAGGCGAGGTGGGGAGGTGGCGCTACCGCGAGGAGGCGCGGAGGCGCGGAGGCGAGGCAGCGAGGTAATGAGGTGGCGCGGAGGCGAGGAGGAGGGGAGACGCTGCCGACGCGTTCCTTCAATGACGCGGAGCGCACACTAGCTGTAGGCGCGGCCTTGGGGCCGCACTTTTTTTAGTGAAGGTCAGCGAGATGAATACGGGATGGGAGGCGGGGTTCCTTTGTCAGATTACGCTTGTAGTATTCTCGTCGCGGCAGAGAATACGCGACGAGTTCCTTGCTTGTAACCCTAACTCTCGACCCCATTATGCGCCTCGTGCAGCGCCGAAGTGGCGGGTGCGACGTGGTCAGGCGAGCAGAGAATCGCCAGACGAAATCCATATCGCGAGGAAATGGGGCGGTCTACGCTAGTAACGTGCTGCCTATCACTACTAGTAAGAATAGGCAGGTCGAGAAAGAAGTACACAAACATTCGATGTGTCCGTCAAGATGTGTGGGAAATTGGATTGGGGGAAATTGAGGGGGGAATACCACTCTGAACCACTCCGCTTTCTTCCGCTAAGCAAGAAATTGTTTCCCCCACCTCCACAGTCGGGAAACGCCGTAACTCGGCCGGTCAAGGGATAACCTTTGATGAAATTGGAATGAATGTGCACCCTGGTTTTAAGACACACCTCATCAGTCATGGGCCTACGCCTGACTAACACCCTCCCTGCAATTTGCTACCACCTGGTGAGTCCATATACCATCCCTGGTGAATTAGGACCAGCTCAGAGCCTTTGGTTATCAAACACGGTCTTTAGCTCCGTCAACCGCTTAATGACTTCTGAACAGTTCAGCGCCCTTGATTATCGAGCATGGTCTTGAGCTCCTTTAACCGCTGAATGCCCTCGCTCATGTGGAACCGAATCTTGCTAATATCGCTCTCCCCTGCATGCTTCTCTGCTTCGTCTCGAATAATCTTCTGCAGATCAGCTGCAAGAGAGAACGGCACAAACAGTGGAATAGTGCAGCGCCTGTATAGAGCAAGGAACATAGCGTTCTAGAGCAATGAGCATGATAGCAGCAATGCACTTCGCGATTCCGAAAATACGAATTGCGCCGTCCGGAGAGCATCTGGGTACAGTGCCTTCATTTCGAAACGCGACTTGAGAGGCTTACGCAGTGAGCACTACGCGGAGTGATGAAACAGCAACTCACCTCGGGATTCAGACGGTGCGAGTCGTGCTGTCCTGAGAGCATCCCGGTAGAGCGCCCTCGCTTTCGCCTGAAGCACGAAATGCTGCAGCGACAACACTGGTCGTGACCTCATGCCTCCGTTACAAGAATCGCGCTCCCATCTTCGTTAACAGCACATTATCGCAAAGCCAGGAGGCAAGCTTGTGCCGCTAAGGGGCGAATCACGATGCAAGCCAAGGAGAAGGATGATGGAGCAGCCGAGTACTACTTGGCGCAGTAATCGCGTTAGAGGGGGAATTTACTATGATGGTTGTGTTAGCGGTGAATTCTCGCTTGCTTTGTGAACACTCATCTCATGCTATTCGCGTTAGAGGATCGAGGGGTTGCGATGCGAGGCATGGCAGAGCTGTGCAGTGGAACTCAACCTTGTGAACTGTTTTGAAAACTTGGAAACACTCAATGTGGTACCAGGTAGAATAATATTATTGTGGAAGCAGCTTGCGCAATGTAAGAGACATTCTTTCTTCCCTAGCCACTTGCTTCCCCTCCCATTGCTGATGCTCTTCATCTCTGATAATACCATGACTCCAATTATACCTAGCGGGGCCCGAAAGCAGCAGCAAATCCCCAGGAGCAAGGAGCAGTGGGAGGGAAAACCCAAGATCATAAGGACGGTCTGACGGTCTAGCAGCAGTAGATGGTGCATCTGCAGCATCAGAAAAGGGCAAGGGCATTGCTGCAATGGATGAGGGTGGTTGATCAGGGAAGCCAGGGGGGGAAGTGGGCAGACTTGTGGTGGCAGTAGAGAGGATGGTGCTGGTGGGGTTGACGGTGGTGGTTGGGGTGGGGTTGGGGGTGATGGTGGTGGGAAGAGCAGGGGCAAGGGTCATGACGCAGGGCGAGAGGAGGGAGAGGATGGCAATGCCATCGTCGAATCGCATCAAGTCCACATGTGGCTTGATACCCTGTGCCACGTCAGCAATGGGAGGGCGGATGGGTGCATGCAAGGCATATCAGCAACAGGTGGATGGATGCAGGCATGCACGCTGTGCCAGGGATGGTTGAGAGGGAGAGATGGGGATAAGGGGGGACATGGGAATAGGAAAGGGTGTGTGCATGGGGAAGGAATGTGGATAGGGGAGGACATGTGGACATGTGGATAGATAGGGGAAGAGATGCAAACATGGTAGAGACCTTCACGCTCAGTGTGATGACTCAGGAGGGACTCTCAGTAGGTGGGTGCATGGGTGAATGGATAAATGGGAGGATGGGTCGGTGGGTGGGTGGTTCGGTGGGTGGCTGGGTGGGTGAGTGGGTAGATGGATGGGTGGGTGGGCGTGAATGCATGAGTGGAGGAATGGGAGGATGGGGGCCATGGGCGGTTGGAAGGATGTAATGGGCGAGGGAATCACCTGGTCGAACACGGGCTCCCGCAGCAGCACACGCCGTGAATGGATGGATGGGAGGATGGGATGGGAGTCATAGTCAAATCAAGAGCAAAGCCTCACCTGGTCTCCGCTATACCAATTGGCAATCATCTGGTCGAACAAGGGCTCTCGCTGCAGCACAGGTGAATGGGTGAATGGATGAATGGGAGCATGGGAGGCATGGTCGAGCCGATTGCAGAGCCTCACCTGGTCTCCGCTGTACCAGTTGGCAATCATCTGGTCGAACAGGGGTTCTCGCTGCAGCACACGCCGAGACAACGGATGCACCCGCAGCTGCTCTGCTTCATCATCTTCAGGTCCAACCACCTGCAATAGCTCACTTCCAACTTTCGCATCAGTTCCAGCCTTTTGTAGGCGCTCATCGTTTTCAGGTCCGGCTCCGACAACTTGGAAGAGCTCAGTAGTCGCACGCTTGGCTGAAAGCACATCCTCGGGCCCATTCGCCTCCTGCACTCCTTCCCCCCCTTGCTCCTGCACACCTCTCCCCTCTTCCCTTCTCGACACATCCTCCGAGTCTCCCTCGTGCTGTATTTTCTTCCGCCTCTTCCCACAACAACCACTCCTCCAAGGCTCCTCCCCATCATCCCTTGCTCCCTCCTCTCGTCCTTCACTACGATCTAAAACAAATTCCTCCCCACTCCCGTTACCATCCCCTTCCCCTCCACTCCTCTTGGGACTCCCAGGAGCACCATTGCCCCCACCTCCGTCCCTCTCCTCGCTCATCACCCCGCACGCACCATCCACTCCCTTAACAGCAACTGCTCTATCCCCTCTAATAGCAACAGTTGCCTGACTCGAAGCAGCTGCAGCATCGGCAGCAGCGGGGACTAGAGCTCGCTCAGAAGCAGCAGTCCGGATCAGCTTTGTCAGGTGCATGGCAATAGGGGGAAGATTGCCAAACCGCATGGCCTGAGTTAGGAATTGAAAGGCAGAGAAGAGCAAAACCGACAGTTGAGTGGGTGAAGTGGGGTGGCTTAAAGATTAATAAGAAACTGAACCAAGACACGGTGAGCATGTTATAAAATAACACAAGTGCGTGTAACTCATCTCCTGTGCATGAGAAAGAATGTAAGATGTTTGTCAGAATATGGCATATGGTAAAGCTTGGCTTTACCTGATTCTTGACTGGTGGGTCAAACCATTTCTCTGAAGGCACGACGGAAAGGTGAAGCACAGAGGAAGAAATGAGCCCGAGAAAGGAACAAAATGAACATATGTAACACAATCAGTACTGTAAAAAATGATTATTTGACATGATCGACATTATTGAGAGGTGGAACTCACACGAGTGAGTGACATGCCTCAGTTGCACACCGTTGATAAAACATCACATGCTAGTACAATTGTTGGGAAGAAACGAGAAGTAACTCGAATGAAAGCTTTGGTTTGTGTTTTACCCCGTGCAATTGCATTCAAGACAACAGATTGCTCCTTCTTTGTAAGAAACTCCCGGCACAGCCACAGCCCCTCCACCTCCTCCACACGCGTCCATTCCCGGCTGCCTTGCCCACTGAGACAATCACACTCGCTACAATCACGAAGAGCCACCTAAAATCGGAACAGAGGGAATGCGGGACAGTTAACAGCGCGCAAGAAGCTTCAAAATTGAACAACGTGAGTCGACAGGATAACAAACGATGGTGGCGGGGAGTGGCTAAGAGGTTGGATGAGCAAGTCTCACGAAGACGAGGCGAGCTGGAAAGCGGCGGAAAGCGGAGATGCGGGGTTACCGGGTCCAGTACGACGAATTTCAAGGGAATAGGGAGATTACGGCAGGGCTAAGAGGCGACGCAGGACAATCGGGTGGTGGCGACGGCGGTCCAAACACGTCATCAAGCAACGAATCTTCCATCGTATGTATGAATTCTAATTGAGTCACCGTTGTAACGACGGTTTAGTGAAATATGATGCACTGGCTGAGTTATAAGATTCTACTACTCGTCCTAATCACATCGTTCGCGCTTCATCCTCGCCTTAATTCCGTCATACCCGTTAGGTGACGTTTTTCGAGAGCGGCACAACGGAAAAACACGAAAGATTCTAACCAGAAGACGCGAATCGGGGTTGGTGCTCCGCATTGGGCGTCAGGAAGAGTTGGCGCTGGGAGGGGATTGAAGGACTCTAAATCCACCACATCCGGCATTGGATGGGAGGAGGGCTCCGTCAAACCAGCCCAAGTCCATTCTTTGTGGCTGAGGGTGTCACAAACCATACCCGACCGCTTTAGTTTTTGAAGAAACCGTTTGCCTAGCAGTTACCACGAACCACGCTGAACTAGACTGGTGTGATGGCATGAAAGTTGCTCCTGCAACCATCAGTGACACCTGTGTCAGGTTATGTGTAGAAGACAATGCTGAAACGATCTGTACTGTTCGAAAACGTAAAGCACCACTCGGATTCTCTTAAGTGTGCAATATTTTCCCATATGCGATAGAGTCTCGCCAAATGAAGTTTATATATAGAAAAAGAAAACGAACCACAGAAATGATCTTATTCTCCTGTGCAACTTCGGCATGAAGGCCACGAGAGGTATGCCATACCCCATACCATCCGAAACTAAACAAAAAGAGAAGGGTGGAATGTACATGGAGAGACACAAAGAGGAACTCGATGTATAAGTAACTCATCATGGCGACCCATGGCTCAAGATGAGCACTCTGGTCAGTGGAACAATCCCTCGGCGTACGTCCAGGCGTTGTGCACCTTGGGATCCGCCATGTGCTCCATCAGGTTTTCAACTGGTCCTTTCCCTGTCACGGCTGCCTGTGCTGCGAATCCCAAGATAGAGAACATGGCCAGACGCCCATTCTGAAGCTCCTTAGCCTTTAGCTTCGCCAGCTCAGTTGGATTACTGCTGTCTGCCAGGCCCAGCGGGTCGAAGAAACCTCCTGGATAAACAGAGCCGCTTGCGTCGCCTAGTGGCCCCCCTGCAACCCGAAACGCCTCGACCGCAGCCATGCCGAGGATCTGGACCGCGCCAATAGCGAGGATGGACTTCGCGGTGCAAAAGTCACAAGACTCGATCAAACTTGTCGTGCCACCAAGGATCGAGCTTCTTATGGAGTCGATGTTGCTGCCGCCAGCGAGGTGCGAAGCTTGAGGTATCCGGAAAGCGGTCTCTGGGACGAGGCACGCGACGACGCCAAGCATTGCCCAACGCGCGTGAATCACCTGGAAGGAATCCAAGCAGCATCACCAAAAGATGACGAAGGTTTAGAAAGAAAAGTGAAAACGAAGGAACGGGAGCCTAACACGCTGAACTGCAGACAGGAAACAGGAGGGTGGTCGAGGAGAGGTGGCGTAAACGGGATGGGTACCTCGAGTGCTGTAGTCTTGGCGAATGACTCAGGATCGACAGATAGTCCCGCCGAGCGCCATCTGCACTCGTCCGGATATTCGCCGACGAGGAAGGAGAACTGCAGTTCCCCTGGAGAACTGCGCCATCTGGATACAGCTTCTAGAAGTTCAGCTTCGCCCTTCCAAACGCTGACCGACGACGCAATCCGCGGTCCTACCCGCATGGTTAGTCGAGCTCCAGCAGCATCGGTTCCTCTGAGAAGCTCTATCCTCGATCCAAGGAACGAGGGTCTGATATATGTCGTCATGGTGGCTGTAACAGCCGAAGACATCGTGCTGCTTCAGTGCAAATGGACTGAAGGAGAAGAGCTGCTGCGTCGAAATCTTGCTAGGACCGATAAGAGGAATGGCAAAGAATAGCCTGTTGCTGGTGCTGTGCGAAGCTCAGGAGCTGTGGTTGCAGCCTTCAAAAGAAAGTAGCTTCGTTTAGACTGAAGGAGCGTCGCTGCTTTGGATATTGCTGCTCAATTTATATTCGCAACCAAAATGCTGGTTGATTCTCCTAGTCCAGGGCTTGGAGCGGGGTGTTCAGTTCAGCTTCAGCAAGGCCAGCAATTCCCGCAAGCAGCAGCCCGACATGATGCAGCAAAAAGCGGCAACAAGTGGTGCAATGCGCTGTAGAGGGTGACGGAGCAATTAGAAATATCTAGAATCAAGGAATACTGAATTCTTGATGTTGATTGGTGGACGCATTTCACGATGTTCCCTATCTGCCCAGTTCCTCCTCTGGCGGCTCGGCAGATTGTTCATTTTGCTGCATCAATGGCTTGGTTTCAGGAGCAAGAAATTTCTAGCACGCGCAGTCCGATCATCTCAAGGCCACACCAGGCTTGTGGTTGGTTTAGTCTTGGTCTGTGATGATGGGGTGGTCCCACCCAAATGCCAATTGAAGGACGAGCCGCCGAACGGAGGCGCATTGACAAAGCGTCGTGATGTGGCAGACTCTGATTCGAGGCGTCAAAGCCTTGACGAATGAAAGTGCAAAAAGCGAACAGCACAGCACAGAGTGAGATGTGAGAGGCTGGCCCTTGCAGCAGCTGGATTGCGCTGAGCTCAGACACTTCGGAAGATAAGCGGATATAGTACCCGTCGTGATGAACCGCGAACTGTAGATCAGAAATAAAACACTTGTCTGATAAAACAATGCTTTCATGTTGCAGGCGCTGCTAGATAGTCTGACAATTCCCTCACAAGAAAAGGCTTGTTAAATCTGCGGGCCTGTATGTCATCAACAAAATCGAGAACAAAAAACCATAAGAAGAAGGAAAAAAAAATAACGAAACCGAACAGACACAATATCCCTTACCTTTTCTACAAGCTGTTGTACAAAATGGCGTTTGTCCACAGGGAAGTCGGGCACCGAGAGAAGGGCAAAAAGCTGCAAGAATCCAACATGAAGGTGAAACCACATTAAACCATTTCCAACGACCACCATTCCAAGAACAGCACGGAGTCATACCAGCACGACCAAATACTTTTGCCCCTCCAACCCATTCAGAGAATTCACTCTCTAGTGCATTTCTCGCACCTGCTTCGTGTTATTCGGACGTGCTGACCGCAGCACCCGGTAGATTGACAGCAGAAAGTCCACCACCTCCTCCTGATCCCTCTCGTTGCCAGCTGGTGTGCGCACAGTGCGCCAGCGAGGATCGCCCCTCCGCATTGCCAGCGCCACAACATCCTCCTGCTCCTCCACCCGTTCCTCCAGCCCCACATCCACTGTCCAATCCCGTGACTCCCCCTCAGCTATCACCCTCCGCCGCTTTGCCCCTCTTCCCCTACCCTCCATTCCTCTACCCTCCATTCCTCCTCTACCCTCCATTCCTCCTCTACCCTCCATTCCTCCTCTACCCTCCGTTGCTCCTCTACCCTGCCCTGTTCCTCTTCCCTCTCCTGCTACGCCCCTGTCTCCTATCTCCACTGCTACCTCTGTTTCTCTACCCTCGGAAACTCCTCTGACATCCTCCCCCTGTCCTGAACCTCGCTCCTTTCCTGCGGCTGCTTCTCTGGGCCATTGCATGGACTCCTGCTGCCGCCTCTCAATTGCTTGTGCCGCCCGGTAACAGCTCTCTGGCATGAACAGTGGATGGCTGAGCTCGCGTTGTTTGTCTTCTTCCGCCGTGGCTGGAGAAATGGCAGAGCCAATAGCAGCAGAGAGATCTGGTGGCGTAGCCACCGTATCAATAATGGGAGCAGCTGCAGAAGCGGTAGCAGCGGCAACAGTTCCCCCTCCTGCCTCAACACGACCTGCTGCTACAGCTATTGTTGTAGCTGCTCCTGCAACTGAACCTCTAGGTGCTGCTGTGGCTCCTGCTTTAGCTGCTTTTGCAGCGGTGTGAGCGGATGGGGCTGGTGCGGCAGATTTTCCACCTGTTGTTGCTGCTGCTTCTGCTCCTGGTGCAGCAGCAGAAACAGTTGCAGCGGCAGCAGCAGGGGGCACTGTCGCTTCCGAGCCGCTGCTGTGAGTAGCTGGCCACACAGCAGCAGCAGTAGCAGCCGCACCAGGCCTCGAGGCACTGTCGGCATGAGGTGCGGCCGGAGCTGCTGCCGAAGCTTGGACAGGCACCGCACGGGTTGACGCGGAGGACAGGGGCGGACGGGGAGAAGGAGAGGACGGGGGAGTGTGAGAGGGAGGAGAGGGTGAGGGAGGAGGAGAGGGGTGAGATGATATTGGGGGAGATGGTGATGGGGGTGCTGGGGATTCTGACCGCCGGCGCCTTTTCTGGGAGCGAGCAAGGGCAAGCACACTGGGAGAGGAAGCACCGCTGGCACCAGCAGCAGCAGACCCACCACCACCACCGCTGCCAGCAGCAGTACCACCGGCAGCACCGCCAGATAAGCCTGCACCAGGCGAACCTGCACCAGATGAACCTGCACCGGCGGTTGAGCCTCCACTAGGTGGGCCTGGGCTCTGGTCGTCCAGGCGAAGGAATGCCTCGTTCGCTGTGGGCATGTCTGGCTTGTCCTGCCGGTACGGGTTGCCAAAGGCCGTCCGTGCCGCCTTGATGCGATCCTGTTCGTCGATCTGGTATGGAGAAGGGGGAAGCAGGGACGGAGAAGGAGATGGATGGGATAGGGGATGAGATCGTGGACGGAGCTAGCAGAGATGATTTTGCAGACGATTCTTGAATTGATTCAAAGGAATGGCGCCTTGTTTCGGGCTACCCGGTGCATGGCTTGCAAGCGATGCGCGCGTAGCAACAAGGCTGACAGTCTAACAGAGTAGCCAGCACACACATCAGCCTGCAGATCTGGCAGACGGAAGACTCCACTTCACTTCACACAACCAGCCCACACTCATAGGGCACTTTGTCTTTGTGCATTCATGAAAGTCGCGGGTGATCGTGCATGCGAAGGGGCATGAAGCGTACATAGCGGCTGCGGGTTACCGTGCATAGAAAGGGGCCTCAAGTGCAGAAAGGGCCATGGAGCGTACATAGGGGCTGCGGGGTGGTTGTTGTCGCTGGAGCGCGTCGTTAAAGTCGCCCATCTGACACACACAGGCACGGAGGGCAAGGAGAGCAAGGAGGGTAAAATGTTGAGGCACATCAAAGGCTGTTGAGGTAAAATGGGAGAAGCCACAAAAAACACCCCCCGCGTGTTCACGGCCAAAAGTGGGGAATGGTAGTTGGGGGAAGGCCAAGGGTGGAAGGGCGGGGGGGTTGTAACAGGATAAATGGGTTGGAGAAGATCGGACAGAAGTCACTGTTACTTACATTCGCAAGGAGAAAGATAAATGGCATCGAGAAAAGGAGACAGAACGTTGTTTCAAGCGTTTCGGCTTTTGTGACGTCTTAGCTTTATGAGCCTTGAGTAAGAAAAGCACCTTTTCAATGCTGACGGTGTGCTTTGCCTCCTCCTCCGCCAGAAGCGCCCACTTCCCCACCGCACCAATCAGAGCGCGCCACCTGTCAACATCACATCCACCAGCAAACCACGACGCCGGCGCCTTATCTGCAGCGGAAGTAGCAATAACGGCTGATGTTTCTCCTTTTGGCCGTCCCTTCCCCACTCCCTGCAAAACTCTCTCCTCTTGGATTGGGTCCAAAGGAGCTGCTGCATCTCCCTTCAACCCCCCTTGCCCAGCCCTTGCCGCCCCTGCCCTTCCTGCTGCAGCTGCGAGCTCTTCATCTTGTGATGCCGCGGGTCGATATGCCGAAGGTGGCCTTCCAGGTTTGAAGGCAGGACCGCTGCTGCTGCTGAGGATGGCGGCGAGGCGAAGGGGCAGTTGAAGCACTTGCCTGGAGGGTGGGAGGCGAGAAGAGACGAAGAAGTGGGGTGGGTGGGGGAAAGAGGCGACAACTGTGATGCATGAAGCCCTCAATTCTAAAAAGCTCGCTGTGCTTACTTCATGGTTACTCTAAGTGACACAGTTGAGTCCTCAAAACCCTAAACTCAAGAGCCTGATGAAGCGACGAATCCCTACCCTTGAAACAACCCCGGTGGAGTGGAGAGATGAAACCTTAAACCCTGAAAACTGATGTAGCGATGAAAGACGAAACCATGTTGCACAATGATGGGGTTACGAGCCCTTAAACCCTGAAATCCTGATGAAAAGATGAAACCCAAAACCCAAAATTCAGTGAGCCTACTTGAAAAACTGCAAATGGATTCAAAAAGACGGCTGCCACTCACCCGTTCCTTCTACCCACCCTCATCACCACGACTATACTACTTCTCCCTCCACACCCATCCTCGTTCTCTCTATACTACCTTTTCCTCCCCACCCACACTCACCGCAAAGAATCCTCTCGAGAAACTTCGCACGGGTTCGTGAAGATGGTTGCTGGTCGCCCTTGCGCTGCCCCCGGCGCCTCACCACCCCCTGAACCTGCCCCTGACCCCCCTGTAGAACCACCAGCACCACCAGCACCACCAGCACCTGCAGCACCAGCAGCAGCACCAGTAGCACCAGCACAATATGCACCACCATTATAAGCACCACCGGTGTAAGCACCAGCCTCCCCAACCTCCACAGCCCCAGGGAAGGTAGGAGGAACAGATGGAGCGAGCGGATTGGTGGAGGCAAGGGAGGGAGGGGCGTGAGAGGCGGAGGGCGGGGGAGGGATGGGGAAGACAGGGAAGGAGCGGGGAGGCGGCGGGGGGGGTAGCAGCTGCACTACTCTCTGCTGCTGCTGCACTTGATGTTGATGCTTCTGCTGGTGCTGCTGCTTCTGTTCATTTGGTTTGTCAGAGGGCGGTTGAACAGCACTGAGTGGGGCGATGGAGGGTAGAGCCAGAGGCACCTTGAAGGAGAGTGTGGGCAGGGGAGGTGGACGGGCAGCGGCGGACTGAGCCATCTGGTTGGCCGTCTGCAAACAGGCGGGCAGATCGAAGGGGTCGACAGAAGGGAGGTCAACATAGAAGCAAATACCACCAAGGAAAAGGGCATTCTGTTTTTTACTTCATACATACCAGCAGGCTAGTTTGCTTCTATGTGGAGAAAGACGCTGGGGCAGCCCTGCGTCCTGCGTCCGGACGCAAAGACGCAGGACGCGCGTCCGGACGCAGGACGCACCCTGGAAAATTTTTCGGGCAGACCGAGATTTTTTTTTTTTTCGCGATCGCGAAATTGACATTCGCGATTTCGTCGCGAATGTCAATTTCGCCGAAATTCGACACCCCCCAAGCAAATTCGACCCCCAAAACCAGCCATCTAATTCACCCCTAACCCCCTCCCCTTTTTGCAAAATTGATTTGGAAATCCAACCCCTCTCCACCACTCCACAACTAGGAAACCCAACCTTTGTGGTCCACCACCCCCACAAAGCCCATTTAGTTCATGAAACCTCTCATTTGTGCTCCCTTTTCTCACAACCCAATTCTCTTTCAAAAACCCTAGTGGTTTTAGCTCCTTTCCGCGCACCACCGTTATGGCTAGCTCCTTGTGTTCGCGACCTTGTGTTCGTTGCGCACAACTGGAACGTTGTGCACAACCACCACAAGGGTGCGGCGGGTGCGGGGCCGAGTGGGGAAGTCAGGAAGGCGGGAATAGTGGAGGGGAACATTCCCCCCCGACCCCTTCCCGAGGGGTACAAGCTTGAGGAGGATGGAGAGGTGGAGGTGGATGAGGATGACCTCACCTTCGACGAGTACAAGGAGCAGGAGGATTTGGAGAAGGAGGAGGAGAAGGGGATGGAGAGCGAGGAGGATGAGTGATGCATGTTAGTTAGTGGTAGTATGCATGCATGCTAAACAACCCTTGGACTAATTGTGATTATGGAAATTTGGGGCTCACCTTCATGTTCTATTGTTGTGGCTGAAATTTTGTTGTTGAGGAGAAATTTTGCTATGAAAGTGTGTTCCCCCCCCCCCCCCCCCCCCTCTTACCCCCTCTTCCCTCTGCCCTATAACTTTTTTTTTGGCTGCCCGGGGGGTTTTTGTTTGGCTGCCCGGACCTGCGTCTTTTGCTGCGTCTCGGGGGCCCTAAACTAGCGTCCAGCGTCTGGACGCATGCGTCCAGGACGCTGGACGCGTCTTTCTCCACATGCTTCATTCATATGTTATGGTAGCATAGAGAATTATCAATTCACAAAAGGCAAGCAGGGACTCGTCAGTCGCCTACCTTGGCAATCTCCTGCAGCCGCTCTTCAATCTCCCCTTTCGCCTTCACCCGCCACCGCCGAAGCTGCGACGCCACTGGACCTGCTGCCAGGCTGGCGTCCATCAGGTCCGGCACCGCCGCACCTGCGGCTGACACGCCGAGCCTGCGCATGGTGGCTCGGAGTGGGGCGGCGTAGTACGGAGGGACGCCAGTGCAGTAACGTTCGAAGTCGTGCCGCCAGCCGGCCGGCGGGGAGGCCCTTGTATGGGGCGGCATTCTTTGGAGCTGCTCTACCAGAGGGAACAGCACCTGGATGGAGGGTGGGGGGGGGAGTGAGGGTTGGGGGGGTGGAGGGTAAAGGAACACATAGGAAAGAAGGGGGTGAGGTTCGTCAAGGGCTGAATCAGAGGCCTGGCCGGTGGGTGGGTGGGAATTGAGACACCGGTAGGTGCAAGTGAGGGGTTGATCAGAGCTCGAATGGTGGAATCAGGGTCAAAGTGTCAACACAAGAAGCTTTCATGATGCATTGAGAAACGGTGTCAACACTCACAGGGTAGTTGTATGGCAGGACGTGGAGAGTGAGTGAGCTGCCTGGCCGGTTGACTCTGAGATAGCTGCAGGCGAGGGGGCATGGGACATGGGGGCAAACGGGCGGGCATGGGGGCATGGAGGCATGCACGCGAGAGGTCATGGGGACACGGAGGGGCATGCATGCAGGCATGGCGGCATGGAGCATGGGGCCATGAAGGTATGGGGGCAAGGCACGCATGAGGCCAAAGCAGGGTGAAAGAAGCCCGTGTAGTGGCAGTGAGTCAAGCGGAACAGGTTCAGGTAAAGGAGTGACGCTGAGGCGCCTCAAACAAAGGCTCAGGTGAAGGAGCGATTCTCAAGCCTCATGGAGGAGAGACTCACCCAAACGGATCACCCAGGCCGTTCCGCGGGCCCTTGCTCCCTCGCATGAACACCTGCCGGCACACACCCATGCCCCGCATGCACGGAAAAACGCACACACACACATATTGGTTGCTGTGAAACCTTGAAAATTTATCAAAAAAACCCTTCGTCTCAGCACCGGACCCTTACAGCTGCCAGCAGACAAGCATCACATGGAGACGCGTGCTGCTCGCAAGGAATGCATGCACGCCTTGCTTGCTGGCTGGCTGGGTGGCTTCTAAGTCGACTAAGAAATCGACATGTGCAGAAATCCATGCATGCTCACTTTGCTTGCTGGCTGGCTGGCGGGCTGAGGATTGCAAAGCACATGCAACGGAGACTGAAGCACTAGTAGAGTGACTTGGGCGGCAAGAGGAAATCAGCAGCTCGTGTGAACACATAAGTCCCGGCCTTGCTGAGAAAATCACATGCACAGAGAATACACTTTCGTGAGAGTTGCCTGTCCTGGTCCCACCAGTCCTGATCCCACCTGTCCTGCTCCCACCAGTCCTGGTCCCACTCACCTGCCCTGATCCCACCAGTCCTGGTCCCACCTGCCCTGATCCCACCAGTCCTGATCCCACCTGCCCTGATCCCACCAGTCCTGGTCCCACCTGCCCTGATCCCACTAGTCCTGGTCCCACCTGCCCTGATCCCACTAGTCCTGATCCCACCAGTCCTGATCCCACTAGTCCTGATCCCACCAGTCGTGGTCCCACCTGCCCTGATCCCACTAGTCCTGGTCCCACCAATCCTGGTCCCACCCGCCCTGACCCACCTACCCTGAGCTCACCCACCCTGCCCTAACCTCACCTGCCAGCACACGTTGGGCCCAGCCTTGCTGAGGAACCCCAGGATGGGGCACCCTTCAATCTCGTACTTGTCTACTGGTATCCCGGGCGGCACGCGCGCGTCTGTATCCACCGCCCGATAGGTTATCACCGGGTGGGGGTCGCGAGGAGGAAAGAGGGGAGGAAGGGTAGGAGGGCTGGAGGAGACAAATGGAGCAGCAGCAGCAGCAGTAGCAGGACTGGGAGTGGTAAAATCCGGCCAGAATGCTTCAGGTATGGGCCAAACTACTGGAGGAGGCCCGGCGCCCGGCTGCGGCGGTGCCAAGCCTAGCTGTCCTGCCAAGCCTGCTGCGCCTGGAGCGCCCAACCCAGCTGCCGAGCCTGCAGGTCCGGCGGTGGGCAGGTTGCGAACGAATAATAGCTTTCGTTGGCATGCAGCGTGTACTTGGGGCGGCATGGGTACGCCGCCCGGTAGTGGCACATGGTCAAATGAGACGATGACAGCTGGCGAGAGGCGCGAGGCGACAATATCTAGGTGCTGAAAGAGCATCTTCCAGCTGGTTACCACACTGCACTTGCCACTGCACAGGTTGCATGCAACGGGATGGCAAACGTAATGCAAGTGGGGAACAGAATGGAAAAGGAGAACTGAATTCAGGTGTGGGAGGAGTGAGTGAGTGAAAGAGGAATAACTCACTCCATCCATTCGAAAGGCACGTTTTGAAAAAATGAGCAACGAATGAATACAACAGCTTGGAGAAAGGCGGAAACCCATCCTTTTTTACCTTGATTGACCAGCACTATTCAATGATACAAGAGTGATGACAAAGTGGATGCATGCATGTGCCCACAGTCTCACCCAGTGGCTTCACACAGGGCTGACACACTCGTGTCCACAGCCACAGCAGCTGGCGACTCTGAGATGGGGCCAGCAGCAGGCAGAGGGCCGATCCTCTCCAGGTGCTCGGGCTTGGTGCTGGGGATGCGCAGGATGGTGGCGAGCACACGCTGCTCCCACCGGAACGGCTGTGATGCCAGCTCGCCGCCTGGTGGAAGGGAGTTGGTTGCTGGTAGCAGGCCCAGGCTCGTTGACACTCCAAACCGCTGCACACAGGGGAGAGGGGGGGACAGGAACCAGGGGGCAGGGGAAACGGGAAGAAGGTTGGTGAAGATGGGAGGGCAGAGGGCCAGTCCTCTCAAGGTGCTCAGGATGGAGGTGCTCTGGCTTGGCGCTGGGGATGCGCAGGATGGTGGCGAGCATGCGCTGCTCCCACCGGAACGGCTGTGATGCCAGCTTGCCGCCTGGTGGGGGGGAGTGGCAGTTGGTAGCAGAGCCAGACTCGTTGACACCCCAAACCGCTGGTGATGGGGGATTTGTGGGGAAAGGGGGGGGGAGGAGGGGAAAAGGGGGGTGGGGGAACGGAATGGACCAGAGGAGAGGCAGCAAGACAAGGAAGAGAGTTAGAGAGGACGGTGGGAGTGAATTGGCTGTCTTTGTGAGTGTGCTATGGCTGGCCGGCCTTAAGAATGGATTGGGATGGAATGCACGCAGGATGATTGCCTTGCCAGGCACTGCTCCCGTCAGTTTGAATCCAACTGCCTGCCAGCTTTAGTCCACTGCTGCTTCTGCTGCTGCTGCTCGAGGGGTGTTGAAGTTCTTTCAGTCAAGGGTGGGTGGGTGGTATGCCAGACCGGTAGACATTCAATGGAAGAAAGGAAGGGGTTCGAAGAATAAGGGGAGAGAGTGGAAAATGGGGCAACTGAAAGCGGGGTTGAATCAATTCTGTGTTACCGTTCTATATCACTGCCCTGGCGGGGAGAACATACCGATGTGAAGTGAGTGCCATCAGTGAGAAGCATGACAACCGTTGGATCCACGGCGGCGAGATTATGACCCATGCCTAGAGAGGAGGCAGGGGCGGAGGCAGGAGAGGGGATACAGGATAGGATTATGCACAACCCAGTTTCAATTAGCGCATGGGTGGCGCGTGGGTGCATGAAGGGATGAATCAGCCTGCCACACTTGCACCATCTGTGTCTTTGAGAGTGATGCTTGAAAGTAATGAAAATAATGAGTCGACGCAAAAAACTCTCATCAGACACACTACACTCACCCCATCGGTCAACGTCTGCTGCGAGGCGCTGAGTGTGCAGCAGATCAAACGTGGCGCGCAGTGATTGGCCGACAGACGAGAGACCTCCCACCTTGACAGCCTTGAGAACCCGCAAGAAATTGGTGAAGGGGAAGCGGTCGACCACCTGGGGATAGTGAAGGGTTAGAGAAGACAGGGAGTATGGGTAAGGATGGACGGATGCAGAGGAATGGCAAAGGAGAAGAAACCAACCACCTGCAGTGACACAGAGCGCAATAGAGTTAAAGTATCCGGGGAGAGTGGTTTTTGAGGCGCCAAAGAAATCCTTAAAATATGAGGTGCCTCAAAAAGAGAACGAAGAGCGGATCGAGTGAGTGGAAGAAAGGGAGAGGAGGGAGACTGTGGTAGAGGGGGGGAGGGGATACCAGCATTTTATCTCACCTTGATTGCCGATGCTCCTTCATCGCATGTCACCAGTATGTACCTGGGAGGAATGTAAAAGATGAACACATTAAAGAATCATTTACAATGAAATGACTTGAAAACAAAGAAACGGTTCATTCAAGGTGGTAGAACAAGGTAAAACAGCGTGGCTTACCTATCCGCCCTGGCAGAGATGTCTCGCTGCCGAACCTGCAACACAAGGCAACAATGGGGACCAGGCCGAGGCAAGAAATAAGAATCCCTGAACGTTCTGCAAGGAAAGTGTTACATGCACACTTAAATACCCGCTGAAATGCGAACATGTTACAGCTAAACGAAAGGGTGTTTGTTTGACCTACCTTATGGAAGCGTCCTACCCACCTTGTGAAAGTGTTCAACGCCGCTCTTAGCGCAGTCGAGTAGCGTGAGTCCGTTGGCGATGCGCTGGCCCATGGACGGACTCGTGTCCACCACGAACACCAGCAGCATGGCGACCAAACGATGGAGTAAGCGAAGTTTGATTAAGAGGTATACGCTGCTTGTAATTTCCTTGCAGCACGGCCGCCGGACGATGACTAGACGTGAGCTAGACGAGGATTGACTGCTAAAAACTAGACGCTGGGGTACGGTGAAAGCGTGAGATTTGAAGCGCTGATGCGGTGAGAATACCCTCTGATCTTTTGGGAAGCGACGTCGATGTGCTGGTGAAAGGATGAAAGGATGATTCTGGGACAGTTCAGGTGTAGATGTGCTAGAACTTTCTTGAAAGGTTTCTATGGATTCTACCGCAAAGACGTTGATAAGCTAGTAATGAACGGTAATGGGACGGTTCGGAGCAACATGGTCGACCTTGAGACTACCACGGGAACTGAAGGCGAGGGAATGGCAATGTCCTGCGGCTGAATCTGCTCACGTCAGGATAATTGAAGTGATTATAACGAGCGGAAACAAAGTCGTTTGGTTGCTGGCCAGCTCCGACAACTGATCCAATAACGATCGTCTTTGTAATGAGAGAATTCGATAAGGTCACGCCGAGAACCTGACTGACAGCCTCTGAGCTGATTTAAAAAAAGGTTCAATTATAGAATGCACTGCAGCAGCAATGCTTCAGTCAATGGGAGGTCTTCAGTTGGTGGAGCGTATAAAGATATGATGACTTGCACGAATTGCAAGTCTTCAGCAATTCCTGAGCTTGCACTACGAGTGACACGCCACTAGCCTAGAACCAGCTGACGCTGGAGATGAGGGTTGAGATGGACTGATGGAAGGGACGATGCACAGTCATGCACTACTGATTGATTGTTCTGCAATATATCACCCTCTATTGTGTGTGAAGGAGCTTCTTCTACCTCTGGTCTGGTCTAGTTCACCATTTTGCGTTCGATTTGGTCGCTCTGGTTGGGTTCGGCTGAATGCGGTGGGTCGGGTTACGGGGTGCATCGATGATGGCGGCTGGTGGTGGCTGGTGGTGGCTGGCGGCATTCGAAAGGGAACGCTGGAGCAGAGTGAGGGAGAGAGAGCGAGCGAGGAGTCACGCAGGATGGGATGGGATGGGACAGGATCCGTTACGTTGCGGGCGTATTCCGTGACTTTGCGTCTAGCACGGAGTAGTAATGAGCTCGACGGGTATTACATAAATTGAAAGTCTAGGTTGTGTCAGGAGGAGAGCTGCAGGCTGTCAGCCTCGTGACACGATTTGGAACAGGTGTCTCCCTCACAAGCCCTTCACTAGTGGCGGTTCCCTTAGAAGCAGCGACAATTATGAACAGATACAGCTGCACGACAGTTCTTTGGAATACCTGACTGAAAATAGAACCACATGCATGTACATAATTTTAAGATATACCACTTAGTTTGACATTTGTAGTTATCATATCTTAATTCGATATGAATCCCAAAACGTGTTTTTTATCAAGGTGGCTGAATATAAATGGGCAGTACCAGCACCATCACATAGATGTTATCAGAACTGTCACACGCGAGGGGTGAGGGAAGGCGGGCCTCGAGCTTCCAATGCGATCACAGAAAATGCCTCCATGTAGTATGGCGAGGACACTCTGCACAGCATTGCAAACAATAACACAAACACCCAAACACACACATACACACCCGTACAACACCAGTATGCGAGTATTGTGAGAACAAAAAACTAAACATGCACAAGTGCACAATTCTGTGCCCCTCTCTTCTAGCACTCCATGTTGTACTCTTTATTCAGTATTGTTACTTACTTTCCAGTGATGGATGGAGGCATGCCTTGGGCTGGTAGCTCTGTGGTGTCAGCCGGATAGTCCTTAGCCGTGTCTAGCACAAGGTGCCTGCCATGCACCAAAAGTCATACATCACATGCCATGCACCACATGCCATGCACCATATGCCATGCACCACATGCCATGCACCATATGCCATGCACCACATGCCATGCACCACATGCCATGCACCACATGCCATGCACCATATGCCATGCACCACATGCCATGATCACATGCCATGCACCACATGCCATGCACCAAATGCCATGGGCCACATGACATGCACCACATTCCATCGTAACACGTGTCCCACCCACACGCACATGCCAGTCACATACCAATGCCATGTGCGATATGCAGATACGTCACAAGCACATATGCCACACGTGCACATACATCACATGCCCAAGTGCCACGTGCGCGCATTCACATATGTTGAAATGAGCAGTGAACAAAGGGTTGTGTCATGGGCATGAGTTACAGGCCAACTGTCACAGCTCGTCAGCATGGGTCATGAATCACAACTCACATGTCATGGGTTATGGTTATGGGTTGGGTCAAGGGTCATGGGTTATGATTTATGGTTCATGGGGCATAAGACATGGGTCATACCTCATACTTCCAATGACATGAGTCATGGTTCATCATAGCTTATGGGTCATGAGTCCATGAAAGTGATTCCACCATACCACATCATGCCAGCAGGCAGGTCAGGCAGCTCCACACGATCATCTCATATGCATGGGCATTGAATTGACGGTGACACACCGATCTCCAAGAGAGTAATCTGAGGGACCAAGTGAGTAATCGCGACCTTACTCACCACATCATGCCAACAAGCGGAGCAGCAGGGAGCCCCACACTCATCTCATTGGCATGGGCGTTGAAGGCGAAGTAGAGATGAGACCATGGGACCATGAGAGCACGAGAACATCAGGGAGGCATGCAAATAATTGCCACCATACCACATCATGCCAACAGGTGGCGCGGGGAGCTCCACAATCATCTCATTCGCATGTGCATTGAAGGCGAAGTAGAGATCGCCAACCGGCATGCTGGGTGTCACAGCTGGGGCGGCAGTGGCAATCGGCACTCCTGCCTCCTCTGCTGCCTCCTTAGCTGACGACTCGATGCCGGCACTGTGAACGGTGCATGCTAAGAAGCAGCTGGAGGGGTGGAGGGCGGAAGGGGGAAGAGGAGAGGGTGAATGGCGGAAGGGGGAAGAGGAGAGGGTGAATGGCGGAAAGGGGAAGAGGAGAGGGTGAATGGCGGAAGGGGGAAGAGGAGAGGGTGAATGGCATGCATATTTATGAGGCGCCAAAGATACATGCTGTCGAAGTGGAACAGGTGGGCTGCGGAGGCCTTATTTCCATCAAAATACAACTTTTATCAAGAGGAGAGGGTGAATGGCGGGCATATCTAGTTTTGAGACGTCTCTAAACTAAAAAGAAAGAGGAGAGGGTGAATGGCATGCATATCTATAAGGCGCCAAAGATACATGCTCCTTAGCTGATGTCTCCATGCCGGCACTGTGAACGGTGCAGGCGAGGAAGCAGCTGGAGGGGTGGGGGAAGAAAGGTTGAGGGTGTGGGAGAGGAAGCATGGGGTGTGAATTCATGAGGCACCATGGAGATGTGTCCTTGGATGAGGGTTCAGTCAATACCAGTAAGGTTCAGTCAATACCAGTAAGGTTCAGTCAATACCAGCAAGGTTCAGTCAATACCAGCAAGGTTCAGTCAATACCAGCAAGGTTCAGTCAATACCAGCAAGGTTCAGTCAATACCAGCAAGGTTCAGTCAATACCAGCAAGGTTCAGTCAATACCAGCAAGGTTCAGTCAATACCAGCAAGGTTCAGTCAATACCAGCAAGGTTCAGTCAATACCAGCAAGGTTCAGTCAATACCAGCAAGGTTCAGTCAATACCAGTCAATACCAGCAAGGTTCAGTCAATACCAGTCAATACCAGCAAGGTTCAGTCAATACCAGCAAGATTCAGTCAATACCAGCAAGGTTCAGTCAATACCAGCAAGGTTCAGTCAATACCAGCAAGGTTCAGTCAATACCAGCAAGGTTCAGTCAATACCAGCAAGGTTCTTTTAACCCACAAGGTTCGGAGCGTACCAGTTGGGGTTGTCCCATTCGGGCTGGTTGGGAAACGCGCCGTGCCACACGATGTCCTCCCCGAAATAGAAGTCCTTGCGCTGTCATGGTGGTGGGGATGGGGATGGGGATGGGGATGGGGATGGGGATGGGGATGAGGAGGTGGAGGGAAGGAGAGGTAGCCCGTGCAGACTAGTGCAGAGGATCATATTTGTTGAATCATAGCGTGCTCCGACTAGACCAGTCCACATCCACACACATTGAATGGTTGACACCCATGTAGCAGTAATGAAAAGTGCCTTGTGCCATTGACACACCGCAGCAGCAGCAGCAGCAGCAGCAGCAAGCAGCCGACTTCAGTGGCTCCTTTCCCCTCTCCTCTCCTCGTCTCACCTGCAGCAGCAGTGTGCGGCGGCGGCGGAAGTTGGCAAGTGAGGCGATGAAGTGAGTGAGCTGCACTCCCAGATCAGAGCCCAGGGAGCTCCAGAGGAAGGGGGACTCGCTGGCAGGGGGCAGACAGAGAGGGAGGGAGGAAGGAAGGAAGGGAGGCAGCAAGCACCCGAGAAGGGAGGTGAGGAGAGCTGCACTCCCAGGTCTGAGTGCAGCCAGAGGAAGGGGGGCTCGCTGGTTGGGGGCAGACAGAGAGGGAGGAGGCAGGTAGAAAGAGAGGAAGAGGTAGCATCAGGATGAAGAGGCGCGTAGGAAGAGAGGAAGCATGGGAGAAGGAGGTTGCAAGGAGGCGAGTTGAGACCTGAGTGTTTCTTGCCGCAGTGGAAAGGGGACTTGGTGATGGGGCATGGACAAGCCAACGAATAGACATAGAGGCAGGCGGGAGGGCCGGTGGGCTGGCGGACGGGTGGGCGGGCGGGCGAGTGGGCAGGCAGGCAGACAATCAGGCAGGGAAAGAGAGCAGCAATGAAGAAGAGGCAGGGCGGGAGAGGAGGAGAGCACTGACGAGTAATCTGCTGCCAGCTGTGCGTCCTTGAAGTGGCCGTACTCGTCTCCAGCTGTCAGCACGGGAACTCCCAGCGAGAGGAAGAGCACCGCCAGGTGGTTGCGCACCTGGTGGGGGGGAAGGTGGGGGGAGGGGGGACAAGTGGAGGCAAGCACAGGTGGGAGTGATTGAGGGCGGTTTGGGGCGGTTGAGGCGCCTCCCAGCATGAGAACTCCCAGCGAGAGGAAGAGCACCGCCAGGTGGTTGCGCACCTGGGGGGAGGGGGGAGGAGAGGGGGGAGGGAGATGGAAAGACCAGGAATGAGTGAAGGCGGTTGAGTCGCCTCCCAACACGCCCAGCGAGAGGAAGAGCACCGCCAGGTGGTTCCGCACCTAAGAGGGGAGGGGGAGGGGAGGGGGGAGGGAGAGGGAAAGACCAGGAATGAGTGAAGGCGGTTGAGTCGCCTCCCAGCACCCCCAGTGAGAGGAAGAGCACCGCCAGGTGGTTGCGCACCTGGGGGGAGGGGGAGGGGGAGGGGGAGGGACAAGTGGAGGCAGGGAACAGTGGACGGATGCACAGGTGGGAGGAAGCGAGAGATAATGGAAAAGGATGAGTGGGCGAGAGGGAAGGGAAGGAAAAATGAGCACGAAGAAATGGAAGGACATGTGGGTGGGTGTGAGAAAAGACAGTTGAGGCGTCGCGAAGCACGTGCAGCAGTGTCTAGAAGCACGTGCAGTGCAGCAGTGTCTAGAAGCACGTGCAGTGCAGCAGTGTCTAGAAGCACGTGCAGTGCAGCAGTGTCTAGAAGCACGTGCAGCAGTGTCTAGAAGCACGTGCAGTGCAGCAGTGTCTAGAAGCACGCGCAGCAGTGTCTAGAAGCACGTGCAGTGCAGCAGTGTCTAGAAGCACGTGCAGCAGTGTCTAGAAGCACGTGCAGTGCAGCAGTGTCTATAAGCACGTGCAGTGCAGCAGTGTCTAGAAGCACGTGCAGTGCAGTAGTGTCTAGAAGCACGTGCAGTGCAGCAGTGTCTAGAAGCACGTGCAGTGCAGCAGTGTCTAGAAGCACGTGCAGTGCAGCAGTGTCTAGAAGCACGTGCAGTGCAGCAGTGTCTAGAAGCACGTGCAGTGCAGCAGTGTCTAGAAGCACGTGCAGTGCAGCAGTGTCTAGAAGCACGTGCAGTGCAGCAGTGTCTAGAAGCACGTGCAGTGCAGCAGTGTCTAGAAGCACGTGCAGTGCAGCAGTGTCTAGAAGCACGTGCAGTGCAGCAGTGTCTAGAAGCACGTGCAGTGCAGCAGTGTCTAGAAGCACGTGCAGTGCAGCAGTGTCTAGAAGCACGTGCAGTGCAGCAGTGTCTAGAAGCACGTGCAGTGCAGCAGTGTCTAGAAGCACGTGCAGTGCAGCAGTGTCTAGAAGCACGTGCAGTGCAGCAGTGTCTAGAAGCACGTGCAGTGCAGCAGTGTCTAGAAGCACGTGCAGTGCAGCAGTGTCTAGAAGCACGTGCAGCGCAGCAGTGTCTAGAAGCACGTGCAGTGCAGCAGTGTCTAGAAGCACGTGCAGCGCAGCAGTGTCTAGAAGCACGTGCAGTGCAGCAGTGTCTAGAAGCACGTGCAGTGCAGCCGTGTCTAGAAGCACGTGCAGTGCAGCAGTGTCTAGAAGCACGTGCAGTGCAGCAGTGTCTAGAAGCACGTGCAGTGCAGCAGTGTCTAGAAGCACGTGCAGTGCAGCAGTGTCTAGAAGCACGTGCAGTGCAGCAGTGTCTAGAAGCACGTGCAGTGCAGCAGTGTCTAGAAGCACGTGCAGTGCAGCAGTGTCTAGAAGCACGTGCAGTGCAGCAGTGTCTAGAAGCACGTGCAGTGCAGCAGTGTCTAGAAGCACGTGCAGTGCAGCAGTGTCTAGAAGCACGTGCAGTGCAGCAGTGTCTAGAAGCACGTGCAGTGCAGCAGTGTCTAGAAGCACGTGCAGTGCAGCAGTGTCTAGAAGCACGTGCAGTGCAGCAGTGTCTAGAAGCACGTGCAGTGCAGCAGTGTCTAGAAGCACGTGCAGTGCAGCAGTGTCTAGAAGGTAGCGCACACGAAGACAGTCTAGGCTCTGTCCCATTCCCACCCTCTCCCCTGCACCTACCTCCTTCCCACCATCATTTCCCCTCATGTTCTCCCCCTTCTCCTCTCTCTCTCTCACCCACCTGTCCCAGTCCCCACCTGTCTCAGGCCCCACCTGTTTCAGCCGTGTCCGCATGACGCCCTCATCTGCACTCTAACTCCCTAAACACCGCAGTTCCACCCTGCTCAGCCCCACCTGTCTCCGCGCTTCACCCTGTCTTCCCCCCACCCGTCCCACTCCCCACCTGTACCAATCCGCACCTGTTTCAGCCGTGTCCTCATCACTCCCTCATCCGCACTCACTCCCTCCACACCGCAATTCCAGCTGCATGAGACAAGAGGGCATGCATGGCGGAAAATGTTGAGGCTTTAGGCGCCTAAAACTCATCACACAGCACGTTGCGGCATGAGGGCATTCTGCAGGTTGTCAAAAACAGCACGTTGAGAACTCTCAAAAACAACCTGCCTCATCACACAGCACGTTGTGGCATGAGGGCATTCTGCAGGTTGTTTTTGAGAACTCTACCTACCTACCGTACCTACCGTACCTACCGTACCTACCGTACCTGGTGCCCCAAAGACAACCTGCCAGCAAATTCTTTTTGGCGCCTCACAAGGTTGATTCGCTCAAACAGCATGCTTGGTTGAGATGCTCAACAGGTGCGGTGCGAACAGCATGCATGCACTGTTCAGCTGCTCGCTCGCACCTGGCGTGCTGTAGCTGACGTGACGAGGTCAGGCTGGCTGGGTACACCTTTGAAGAAATGTTTCCAAGTCGCCACATGACATGGCAGCATGGCAGCACGCTGGGTTAGTTGCGATGTGCAAGGGTTGCGATGTGCAAGGGTTGCGATGTGCAAGGGTTGCAAAAGCGCACCTGGCCTCTGACTCCATGCTGTAGCTCACGAGGTCGGCCAAGGTGAGCCCCTGGAATGCCTTGTAAGGCTTCAAGAACATGGAATGTGAGGCTGGTTGGGTGGGCGTATGTGTGTAAGGGTCTGACACGGGAGTAAAAAGCGCACCTGGCCTCTGACTCCATGCTGTAGCTCACGAGGTCGGCCAAGGTGAGCCCCTGGAATGCCTTGTAAGGCTCCGAGAACAAGGAATGATGGTTGTGCGTGCGTAAATGTAAGGGTGGCAAAGGGCACCTGGCCTCTGAGTCCATGCTGTAGCTGACAAGGTCCGCCAGGGTGAGCCCTTGGAATGCAGTGATGTAGTTGAAGGCGTAGGCTGGGCCTCGGCCTGAGGAGAACAGGTCGCCACTGGGGGAAAGGGGAAGGGGGAATGGGGGAACAGGGGAAACGCCGGGAACGGGAAGGGGGAGAGAGGGGAAACGGGAGAGGGTGAAACGAGCCCCTGGAATGCGGTGATGTAGTTGAAGGCGTAGGCTGGGCCTCGGCCTGAGGAGCAGGTCACCACTGGGAGGGAGAGGAGGAAGGGGAGAGACGGCAGGGGAGATGGGGAAGGGGAGATGGGGGAGGGAAGAGGAAAAAGCAGAGGGGGAGGGAAGAGAGGGGAAGGAGGAATGTGATGATGAAGAGGAAAAAAGAGGAGGAAGGAGAGAGGAGGAAGAAGAAAGAAGGGGAGGGGATGAATGGGAGAGAAGGGGATAGGAGGAAGGGGAGAGAAGGGGATAGGAGGAGTAGCGAGGGTGAGCCGTTGGATTGGAAGCTATACTTCCAAAAAGCTAGAGAAAACTGAGTCGTAAGTTGAGACTGGCTCAACAGTCACACACACACAGACAAAGCACGGACTGACGATCCTACAGTGGGAAGGTTACTGCCTGACCAATGCTGCGGACCGAAAGACACTCGTGAGAATTCTCAAAATTGAGCCCGGAAGCCACTATGTATACAAGCCAAGCCACTGGGAGGCTATTTTTGAGGCGCCTAAAAAACAAAACTGAGTTTGGAAGCCACTATTTATAGAAGCCACTCGGAGGAATGTACCTGCCGCACAGCCGTGTTGCCAGCCCGCTGATCTGCCCAGGCTGCCCGGAAACGAATCTGCGGATGTCGAAGCAGAAAGCACTGTTCATTTCCTGCCACCGCTTCCAGTGCGGGAATGCAAAGGCCTGCCCGGGTCCAAACGGGGAGTTTACCCAGAAAAAAAGGGGGGGTTACACAGGGTAGAGATGATTGGTTGGAGAAGGAAGAGCAAGGAATGACTGGTGGGAGAGGACAAGTGATTACTGGGGTATGGGAGACAGGGAAACAGGTGGTAGCGGCAGCAGGTGGTGAAGGCAGCAGGTGGTGAAGGCAGCAGGTGGTGAAGGCAGCAGGTGGTGAAGGCAGCAGGTGGTGAAGGCAGCAGGTGGTGAAGGCAGCAGGTGGTGAAGGCAGCAGGTGGTGAAGGCAGCAGGTGGTGAAGGCAGCAGGTGGTGAAGGCAGCAGGTGGTGAAGGCAGCAGGTGGTGAAGGCAGCAGGTGGTGAAGGCAGCAGGTGGTGAAGGCAGCAGGTGGTGAAGGCAGCAGTTGGTGAAGGCAGCAGGTGGGATGGGTGGAAGAAGAGATCACCCAGAGATGGGGCTTCACAGATACTCGCCTTCGAGGAGAGATATTCGGGATTCTATTTGTTTTTGTGACACACCCACCTTCTGAGCAGACAGCAGCGGCATGGCAGCATCGGCCACGAGCTGATGGCAGCCAGCCAGCAGCGGGTTGAAGGCCAGAGCCTCCACGGGGGGGTGAGGGCGGACCATTCGTGGGGCATCACGACTCACCTTTTGTGTGGAGAGCAACGGCATGGCGGCATCGGCCACGAGCTTGACAACAGCCAGCAGCGGGTCCAAGGCCAGGGCCTCCACGAGGGGCGGGCGGAAGAGTGGGTGCACGTGTGGGAGTTGCTGGTGAGTTCAGCCAACCCACCTTCTGGGCGGAGAGCAGCGGCATGGTGGCATCGGCAAGGAGCTTGACTGCAGCCAGCAGCGGGTCCAAGGCCAGGGCCTCCACGAACGAGGGGCGGGCGGGAGAGCGGCTGCGCGTGTGGGCCCGTGGTGAGTCGGTAGGTAGGGGACTGGTGGTGGGGGCTGCTGCTGGTGGGTGGGATGGGTTCAAGACCTCACCTCACTGAGTGCTGCTGGCATCGCCACTCACCTTCTGAGCAGACAGCAGCGGCATGGCAGCGTCAGCCACGAGCTTGACGACAGCCAGCAGTGGGTCGAAGGCCAGGGCCTCCACGAGGGGGCTGCTGCTGGTGGGATGGGTTCAAGTGACCTCCCAGACATGGGGGTTCACCCTGTGCTGCTTCTGGCAGCTGTTCTAGGGGGTCATGGTAATGCCTATGATACACTCACCTTTTGGGCAGACAGCAGCGGCATGGCAGCATCAGCAACAAGCTTCACTGCAGCCAGCAGCGGGTCGAAGGCCAGGGCCTCCACGAGGGGCGGGCGGAAGAGTGGTGAGTGGGTAGGTTGGTAGGGGACCAGTGGGGGGAGTTGCTGGTAGGTTCAGCCACACTCACCTTTTGAGCGGACAGAAGCGGCATGGCAGCATCAGCAACAAGCTTCACTGCAGCCAGCAGCGGGTCGAAGGCCAGGGCCTCCACGAGGGGCGGGCGGGAGAGTGGCTGCGCGTGTGGGCCCGTGGTGAGGGCTGATGCGTTGATGAAGGAGAAGCCGTCCACGTGGTACTCCTCCACCCAGTGGTGCAGTGCGTCCGTGATCTGGAGATGGGGCAGGGGGGATAGGAAAGGAAGGAGGGAAGCACAGGGTTGCAGGGGCACAGCAGTTGATGAAGGAGAAGCCGTCCACGTGGTACTCCTCCACCCAGTGGTGCAGTGCGTCCGTGATCTGGAAGGGGGAGCGGGAGGGGGAAGGCAACGAGTTCCTAGTGGCTGCGCATGTGGGCCCGTGGTGAGAGCCGAGGCATTGATGAAGGAGAAGGCGTTATCTGAATGGGGAGCAAGCAGGTACGGAAAGCGGGGGGGGGACTTTTGAGTCGACTCAAAAGTCCACCCAGTGATGCAGGGCGTCCGTGATCTGAATGGGGAGCAAGCAGGCACGGAAAGCAGGGGGGCCACAAGGGTGCAGGGTCACATTAGATGGCTGAGAAGCCGTCCTTGGGGTAGTCTTCCACCCAGTGGTGCAGGGCGTCCGTTCTCTGGTGGGAGGAAAGGGGGGTAGGGCAACGAGTGGGAGAGCGGGTGTGCATGGGTCCCCTTGTGGTGCAGGGACACATTTGATGGCTGAGAAGCCGTACTCGCGGTACAGAGCGTCGGTTATCTGGTGTGTGCGGCAAGCAAGCAAACTAGCACGCAAGCAAGCAAGACATAAGCAAGCAGACAAGCGAGCAAGGGAGCAAGAAAGCGAGGGAGCAAGGCACGTACGAGGTTGAGCGCCACAGGGCTGTTGCAGTTGAAGGCGTTGGGAGATCCATATTCGGGCACCACCTGGTGGGGTTGGCGTGGTGGGGGGGGAGATGGGGGGCATCAGAGGGACAGGGTGGCAGAAATTAGTGTGAATCTGTTACGTGGTGGGGGGGACACGGTAGGGGGTTGGGGGGGACACTAATATGACGGCAACGGGAGCATTACCATGTGGGGTTGGCGTTGTGGTTGAGAGGGGGAGGTGGGGAAGGTGGGGAAGGTGGGGAAGGTTGGTTGGAGTCGGGGGGGTCTAACCATCGCTACCCTCTTTTTTGAGTCAGCAAAAAATATAGAAGTGACGATCAAATCTTTCCATAAACCGTTCCACCTGCTTGCCATAGGCGCCACGTCAACAATATAGTGCGCACGATTGTCAATGCCGCGGAAGGAGATGCAGGCAGAGTGAGGTGCCCGCAGAATGACACGTAGCTCACTCCCCCTACGAGTCAACGAAACAATCAGATGGTATTGTATTGAAGCCTCCTTATAATAAAATGCCTCTACCTGCTTCCCATAAGGGTCCACGATGTAGTAGGCGCGGTTGTCAATGCCACGGAAGGAGACGATATTTAAAGTGCCTCTCCCTGCTTGTCACACCCACTGCCCCACCTGCTTCCCATAGGCGTCCACAATGTAGTAGGCGCGGTTGTCAATGCCACGGAAGGAGATGGGCTTGAGACTCTCGATGCCGCCCTCTTTTTGAGTCAAGGGAAAAATAAGATAACAATGATGCCTCCTTCTAATTTAAACTGGCTCTACCTGCTTGCCATGGGGATCATTGATGTAGTAGGCGCGGTTGTCAATGCCGCGGAAGGAGATGCAGGGTAAGGTGTCCACGGGATGACAGCTAGCTCACTCCCTCTACGAATCCCCCCCCATCCATTCTCCCACCTGCTTGCCATAGGGATCATTGATGTAGTAGGCGCGATTATCAATGCCGCGGAAGGAGATGGGTTTGGGGTCCTCATCGCTGCCCTCCGCCGTGTGGCTGACCACCACCTCCACGTGCACCTCGATGCCCCGCGCATGGAGCTCCCTCACTAGCAGCTTGAGGGACTCGTTCGGTCCATAGGATGGCATGGGGGAGAAGAAACTGGTGGCATGGGTGGAAGGGAGTGATAGAAGAGGGAGGAAAGGGGTTCTCATCGCTGCCCTCCGCCGTGTGGCTGACCACCACCTCCATGTGCACCTTGATGCCCCTCGCATGGAGCTCTCGCACTAGGAGTTTGAGAGATTTGTTGGGCCGATAAGAGGGCATGGGGGAGAAGAAGCTGGTTGGGTAATAAGGGTGAAAAAGGGAAGAGATGGAGGAAAGGGAAGATCAGGGGTGGGGTGGGGTGGGGTGTGTGGTGGCAGCGAGGGAGGGCACATTGTGTCACAGCACATGCGCCTCCACTCCATGGTACTGGTGTGCAGCACATGCGCCTCCACTCCATGCTACTGGTGTGCAGCACATGCGCCTCCACTCCATGCTACTGGTGTGCAGCTCTAATGTGCCGCTCGGGCTGTACGATAGAGATGTTAGGAGAAGAGAGGGTGGTTGGGAAGGAAAGGGGAAACGAGGGGATACGGGCACAGAGGCATGCATATGCGGATGGATGGATCGTGGATATGCGATCGCTGGGGTTGGGATGCGTTCGGAGGGGTGGCGTGGGGTGCTTACTTGATAGGGAAGTAGGGTCCTTGAGTCTCGTCAAACGCTGCGATTGGTTGAAGCAGCACCGCATTCACTCCTGCGGCCAATCACGTGCGAGCATGTGGCGAGTGGGAAGAGGACGAAGCACAACGGGAAGGCAGATGAAGACGATATATGTGCTGCCTGCCTAGGCAAAGAATAGTTATGTGATAGAATTTGGGCTTTGACACGTCTCAAAACATGTGCTGGCTGTCTGGGCACAGAAAGACATCAGCAAGGGAGACTGCTGCTGCTGCACGCATTGCTGTCCTAAACATTAAACCCTATGCCCTAAACCTTGAGCCCAGCCCCTGAACCAGAGATCACTCACCCAGCACCAGCAGGTGGTCTGCTTTCTCCAGCACGCCCTGAAACGTGCCTCACCCCAGCTGGCTCACCCCGCTGCGGCCCTCCTAAGCCCCAAGACCAGTACCTTAACTTAAAGCCCAGTCCGTCAAGCCCAGCCCCTGAACCCAAAACCTCTCACCCAGTGCCAGCAGGTGGTCGACCTTCTCCCACATGCCCTGGAACGTGCCTCGGCATTGCCTGCCTCATGACCGCGTGCTGTCTTAAACCCCAAAACCTAAACCCTTTAAGCTCAGGCCCTAGAGCTCCCGCACTCACAGAGCGCGAGCAGGTGCTCCACCTTCTCCAGCACGCCCCGGAACGTGCCGTGGCTTGGCCCGCTGGGTGCCATTCTCGGACCCAGCCCCACGAGACTAGACCTCTCCACACTCTCCCAGCGCCAGCAGGTGCTCCACCTTCTCCAGCACGCCCCGGAACGTGCCTTGGCTTGGCCCGCTGGGTGCCACTCTCGGACCCAGCCCCACGAGACTAGACCTCTCCACACTCTCCCAACGCCAGCAGGTGCTCCATCTTCTCCAGCACGCCCTGGAACGTGCCTCGCCTTGGCCCGCCTCTAGCCGTACCCGCTGCTGTCATTTCCTTTAACCTTGAACCCATCCCCTGACCCTTACTCACCCAGCGCCAGCAGGTGCTCCACCTTCTCCAGCACGCCCTGGAACGTGCCCCGCCCCGCCTCGCTCACCCCGCTGCTGTCGTCCGCCGTGAAGGCCGCCACGTTGAGGCGGTACACCACCAGCTGCTCCGATGGGATGCTGGCAGGCGGAGAGAGGGAGGGGGGCAGGGAGAAACATTGGTTACACTAATGAGCACATGCCCATTCCCCTTGCTCTTGTCGTTTGCCGTGAAGGCTGCCACGTTGAGGCGGTATACCACCAGCTGCTCCAATGGGATGCTGGCGGGCGGAAGGGGGGAGGGAGGGCGAGGGAGAAGGAGGGAGGGCGAGGGAAACTGAGGTTGGTTACGTTCACACACACACGCACACACACACGCACACACACACACACACGCGCGCGCGCCCGGACACACACACACACACACACACACACACACACACACACACGCATGAACACACACACACAAAGATATTGGAATGAGAGGCAGGCGGTATTCTCACTTGGGGGGGAAGTCGTCCTGCCAGTCGAAGGGCGGCTCTTGCATGGTGGGGATGACAGCCAACGCCGCTGCTGGCGATGGTAGGTCCTCTGGTGGAAAGGGGACAGGCAGGTTGCAGGTGCACAGGGGCACAGGGGCACAGGGGCGCAGGTAGGTTGGAGGGGGTAACGATGGCTCTTGCATGGTGGGGATGACTGCCAACGCCCCTGCTGGCAAAGGCAGATCCTCTGGTGGGATGCCAGCAGGCAGGTTGCAGGTGCACAGGGGCACAGGTCCGTTGGAGGCGGGAGGCAAGAGGCAGCACAAGAAAAGTGTTTTGAGTCGACCCAAACCAGGTACGTTAGAGGAGGGAGGTGAGAAGCAGCACAAGAGAAGGGGAAACAAAAACGGGAAGGAGAGACGAGAGGGACGAGGGGCAAGTGGAATGGAATGAGAGGAGCAAGAAAACATGGAGAATTTTCAGGGGGTGGACGAATGAATTCCATTCACAGAGCAGCAGTGGCGCCGCAGAGCAGGCAGCGCGAGCAAGGTTCCTCATTTACTAGAAAGCACGAGAGAACGCAGAATCGCTTGCGTCACGATGGTGCTTACGAGAAATCCTCTGCTGCTTGCATTGGGCCCTTCACCGTGAGCATACCTTACCCTGCCACGTCAGCATATCTTCTGCCACGTCAGAATACCATGTCTTGTCACGACAGCAAAATTACCTTGGCCGGGCACGTGAGCAGCCATCTCCTTGGCGTAGGGGTCCATGAGCACGAGGCGGGAATGGAAGCGGTTGCCTCCCTCCCAGTCAGGGTCGCCCTGAGAGCGACAGAGTGCGGGCACGATTTATCACGCCAGCCACGGGACACAAAGGGCACACACAGAGCGCAGACGGCACAGTGAGGATGAGGTCAGATGAGAGCATGAAACAGGAAGGGAAGACGTTGCTCAGTGCTCAAGTGATCACAGCGCAAGAAAGGAGAGGCGATTCCTGATGCGCCTCGTTGGCATGGCATGGTAGGTGTGCTGTGGATGTGGATGATTGATTGGAAGCACATCACCACCCCTGCCCGAATGCCCCACCCACCCTCTCTTACAGCATGCACACTGTTCAACTGGCAGACATGATACGCCATGCCATGTCCATTCTCCACATCCACTCCTGCATACATATGCTTCTGCACATGGGCATCACATTGCACTGCGCACACGTGTGCATACATGTCAAACAATCCCATCCATGCCGCCTCACCCACCTGCACCCGGTACCCGTAGCGAGTGAAGCTGCTGACGTCAGCAGCGTCAATGCTGACGTGCCACACATCCCCCGTGCGATGGATGGACGGCTCGAGATCGATCTCCAGCTGCATGAGGCACGGTGGGAAGGGGGGGTTCACTTTTGGGCCGCCTCAAAAGTTTGCAGTGAATGGACGGCTCCAGATCGATCTCCAGATGTACAACGCACGGCAGGGCGATTCGTCTGGTTTGGAGGGGAAAGGGGATTGAGGGGAGATGCAGCAACATCAGTGGTGGATGAACGGCTTCAGATCAATCTCCAGCTGCATGAGGCACGGGGAGTGCGGAAGTATTGGTAAAGACGGGAGATGCGGCAACATCAGGGGATGGGCGGGTGGCTCCAGATCAATCTCCAGCTCCACAACGCACGGCGGGTGTTTTGGGGAGAGGGTCAGAGATGGGGCTTAACTTCACCAGACCTTTCACCCTTCAGACCTAACCATGATCTTTACTGTGGGCTCGGAGCCATGCAGGCAGGTAAAGGCAGAGCAGAGCACGACGCGCTCAGCGTATCGTCCGTCTGCGTTGGGTAGGTAGAGAGCCAAGTTCATGTGAGAAAACGTGAGGAAGAACCATTTATTTCATTAGGAGAGATGGGGGTATACATAGTAGTGCTAGGGGGGGGGTTTGGTTGGAACCAAGCCAACATTATTGGCCCCCACCAATAAGTTGGGTTGATGGATTATTGGGGGGACCAATAATGTTGACCAAGTGGTTCAACATTATTGAGGAGACCAATAATTCCCAACCCAACCTTGGGGGCCAAGGTTTGAGTTCCAAACCCCCAACTAGGGTTAGCCCTAGTTCTACACCCAAACTAAGTTTGGGTGGCTATCTCTATCCTACGCTTATAGTATTGATGTAGGTTACAATGAGGATGGCAATCTGACAGTTCACCGATCCGTCTACGTTGGGTAGGTAGAGAGCCAAGTTCACCGATCCGTCTGCGTTGGGCATGGCACCTCAAGGAAGGACCAGCCGACACATGCCATGCCATGCTAGCGACCACTCCAAGCCTTGGGTTCTCCTCTCCAGCCCCATCCATAACACCAGCCGTGACGTGACCTGAACCTTACAGTGGGTTCGTCGTCATCAGGCAGGTAGAGGCAGAGCACAACGCCCTCGGCGTAGCGCGAGGAGAGGGCGAAGTTGACCGACCCGTCCATTCTGGGTATGGCGCCTCAAGGAGCGAGCGATCAACCGATGACACATGCCAGTGTCCGGTCCAAACCTTGGGCCAACCCAGACTTGAGTTGTGTTTTGAGTCGACTCAAACCCCGCCTCTCCAGCCCAGACTTTGGGTTAATTAATCTTACCGTGGGCTCGGCGTCGTCAAGCAGGTAGAGGCAGAGCACGACGCCCTCGGCGTAGCGCGAGGAGAGCGCAGAGCTGAGCTGACCAACCCATGAGTACAGCGATCAACACCAACCTTCAGCATCAACCCAATAAACCTTCAGCTGTTCCACCAGCCCTGACTGACCTGGCCTGACATGATCCCTCCCTACCGTGGGTTCGGCGTCGTCAGGCAGGTAGAGGCAGAGCACGACACCCTCGGCGTAGCGCGAGTATAGAGCGAAGTTCACCGACCCGTCCGCGTTGGGCGTGGCTCCCAGCGGGCTGGCGCTGCCACGCCCCATGCCGATGGGCACACACAGATCCATCTGCCGCGAGTTCCTGTAAGTGGGGAGACGGGCGGGACAGAATAGGGAGACCACGGTTGGCTTGGCACTGCTGCTGAACATGCTAATAGGCTCAAATTCAGGTGTCTCCGATGCCAGTGCCCATTGCCCTGCCCACGCCAGCAAGTGGCTGGAAGAGCACGAGGTTGAGGGAGAAGGGAGCTAGGCGAGACACTCACACCACTTTGATACAGCCTTCCCACCACTGACCTGAGCCAGAGCCCTTCCAGGGACTTGTCTACGATGCCGCTGCCAGTCACGCCAGCAAGTGGCTGGAAGAGCACGAGGTTGAGGGAGAAGGGAGCTAGGCGAGACACTCACCCCAGTCACATGGCTACTTCAGCCCACCCAGACCCAGCCCTTCACCGCTCACCTGAGCCAGAACCCTTCGAGGGACTTGTCTCCGATGCCGCTGCCGGTCACGCCAGCGAGCGGCTGGAACAGCCCTGGGGCGAGCTGGGCGAACCACCCAGCACTAACCCCTGGTAACACGGTTACGTATTCACAGCCCTCCCACCAAATCCCCCCTCACCTGAGCCAGAGCCCTTCGAGGGACTTGTCTCCGATGCCGCTGCCAGTGACGCCAGCGAGCGGCTGGAAGAGCACGAGGTTGAGGGAGAAGGGGGCGAGCTCCGCATCAAAGGAGAGCACCAGGGAGCGGTGGCCGGGCGTAGAGTCCTCCTGCAGTACCGTGCGCATGGCATCAGTCCTGAGTGGTGAGAGGGGTAAAAGGGGGGGTTGGTGGTGGTGGAAGAGGAAATGGGGAAGGGGTTGGGAGGGAGAGCACGAGGGAGCAGTGGCCTGGCGTGGGGTTGTCGTCCTGTAGCACCGTGCGCATGGCGTCGGTCCTTGGGGGTGGGGAGAGAAGGGTAGGGAGGGAGGGGAGGAATGAGGAAGGGGAAAATGGGGGGGCGAGGAGTGAGGACGGGGCTCCCACATCGCATGAAGGAGAGCACGCATGACCGGGCGTGTTGTCTTCTTGTCCTGTAGCACCGTGCGCATGGGGTCGGTCCTTTGAGGGGGTGTGGGGGAGGTATGAAGGTGGGTGGCAGTGGGTGGGGAAGGGGGCCGGACAGGTTGATGGGAGAGGGTTTGTTTGCATGAGCTGGTGCTGCCACAGCAAACGACAGAGAGCACCAGCGAGCAGTAGCCAGGCGTGGAGTCGTCCTGTAGCACCGTGTGCATGGCGTCCGTCCTTTGAGGTGTGCTGATGTTGGGTAAAGTCTCTGATGAGCAAAGAACTGGGTATAGTGAGAAGGCAAATCATGAAAAAAAAAACACACAAGAGCAATCGTGCATATGAGGATCGAAATGGTTGCACGGACAGGCATGGGAACGGACCAAAGGGTAGCGCTTCGATTCGGAGCACAGTTTTTTGTGCTGCTGTAACGAAAGGATTCACCAAGGACTCAAAGCCACGCCGTTCTGCTCTTGGCGAACAGGACTCTGCTGCAGCAGCAGCCGCAGCAGCCGCAGCAGGGGGACTCACTTTCCTCTCAGGAAGACGGTCCCTGGCGGTGTCTGGGAATCATTGAGGAGGAACCACGTGGAGCGATCTGAGCGGAATATGCCCTGGGGCAGGAAGAGGGGAGGGGAGAGGCAGAGCATGTGCAGAAGTGGAAAAAAGCAGAGTGGGAGAGTGAGGCCCGAGGGAGAGTACGAGATGTTAGCCCTCAATCTCAACTTCTGTACTTGTACTTTTTTATATCCTTCTACTTTTTCATATCCTAGATTAGTGTAGTTTGTAGTTCGTTGGTTGGGTGTACACCCACATCCCAATCAAAATTCAAATGTGATCAACCGAGATCTCCAACCCACTGATTGGAGATTTCAGCCGATCCCCTTGGGATTGCCCCCGATTCCCTCCCCATCCATTCCGTGCCCATTTCCCATGTACTTACGAGCCGTGAGCTCATTACCTAATGTATCAGTTCAAGCTCAAGTTCTTACACGAGAGGCATGGGACGACTGATGGGACAACGGATGGGACGACTGATGGGACGACTGATGGGACAACTGATGGGACGACTGATGGGACAACTGATGGGACGACTGATGGGACGACTGATGGGACGACTGATGGGACGACTGATGGGACGACTGATGGGACGACTGATGGGACGACTGATGGGACAACTGATGGGACAACTGATGGGACAATTGATGGGACAACTGATGGGACAACTGATGGGACACTCTCAAGCAGCACCCCGAGCAGCAGAGGTACGTACCCAGTGGATGCAGAGCGGCAGATCGTGGCGGCACTGCATGTGGGCTGCAGCCACGTCCAGCAGCACGTCGAAACACCCGTTGCGCTCCACCACATATGCCGTCACCTGCACGCGGGCATCGGGGGGCAGTAGGGGGGTTTAAGGGATCAAATCGAATCAGCAGCACCCGTTGCGCTCCTCCACCATGTATGCCGTCACCTGCACGCGGTCATGGGGGGCCGGTAGGGGGGTGGGGGAGGGGAAGGTGGGTGTTGAGTCGGCTGGAGAATCAGATGGACCCGTTGCACTCCACCACGTCTGCTGTCACCTGCACGTGTGAAAGGGAGGGGCATGTGTGATGGGTGGTGGTCAGAGGTGAAAGGGGGTTAGATGGAAGCATGTGTTGCATGGACCACATGGGTTGCATGGACCACATGTATTGCATGGACCACATGTGTTGCATGGACCACATGTATTGCATGGACCACATGTGTTGCATGGACCACATGTGTTGCATGGACCACATGTGTTGCATGGACCACATGCGTTTTGTTTTTCATCTCAGAAAAAAACAGCTGGTCATTTTGAGACGAGTCACAGTCCATTGGCACCATCCGTCCCCAATCACTCTTCGTTCGCTCCTTTCGTTCTCTCCATTCCTTTTCTTCTCTCGTTCTCTCCACTCGCTCACTTCACTCGTTCTCTCCACTCGGTCTCTTCACTCGCTCCCTTCACTCGATCCCTTCACTCACTCCCTGCACTCGCTCTCACCATGCAATCAAGAGACCACTGATACCTCCCTATTGCCCTATACATTTATCCTCGCTGTCAAATGCTGCTCATCATTTTCACTCTCCTCTTCCTCTCACCTCCCCTCCACCCTCACCTGCCCTCCCCCCTCCACGTGGCACACGTATCGCCGTCATTCCAACGACGTTTGAGTCGACTTCCCTTTTCCCCACTCACCTGCCCTCCCCCCTCCACGTGGTACACGTATCGCCGACATCCTGACGGCTCTTGAGTCAACTAGAAAATCTCCTCCGCTCACCTCCCCTTCTCACCTGTCCTCCCCCTTCCACGTGGTACACGTATCGCCGTCATTCCAACGACGTTTGAGTCGACTTCCCTTTTCCCCACTCACCTGCCCTCCCCCCTCCACGTGGTACACGTAGCGCCGACATCCCGGCGTCCGCTCGAACTCCGCTGCTTTCGCGCTCTTCCCCACCGCCAAATCCGCCGCGACTGCCGCTGCTGCGACGAATCCCCCGTCAGTGGCCTTCGCGGCAACCGGACCGCGAGAAGCGGCGAGCCTAGAGCGATTAAAGCTGTGTGAGGAACTAAAGCTGGAGAGTAATGCAGGCGTTAGGGATTCGCCGGTTAGGAACCGCTTTTCGGGTGTGCATGTTCGGAATGCCGGGCCATTTTCCGCGTTTCGCGGCTGGTGCGAAAGCGAGCGTCCGGCGTGCGAACGAATCGACTGACGAAGCTTCCTGGTGCTGGAATCAGGAGAAGCCGACAAATGACGAGAATGGAGGCAAGGCGGAAATGACGTCTCGCGTGCAATGTGAGGAGGCAGCAATGCTTGATTAGGCGTGAGAGCCGCAGCAACTCCTGCCATTTCCACCAGTTTTTGTTTTCCAGAAAACACGGAACAGGTGGACTAAGAAGCTCGTGTGAAAATGGTGGGCAGCAGAGAAATGTGCATAACAACCCCCACTACAGTGAGCCTTGGCACAGCGCTTGCGGTAATCTCGAGGTACCCCTCTGTGATCAAAAGATTGTTCACACTGTTAGTGTAATGAATTACAATTCATTACTTTAGAGGCTGCTCCTAGCGAGGACAGCCCCGAACACTGCGCGTGAGTTTCCGGTTCGGCCTACATTTCGACCCGAACCACTACCGAGTCGCCCCGCACCAATCGCGACACATCCAACCCTCGCACGTCTCGAGGTTCTCGCCTAGCACGTATTCGCCCTATAATTGCTTGCCTTATTCATTCAATCGTCATTCTGTAATTCATCCGTTTTATCAAGTCTTTCGCGCACTCTGTTTAGTACAACTCATAACACTTGGTATCAGAGCTACTTTCCTAGCTTCCCCGTTTTTTAGAGTGTATTACCACTCGGGGGGAGGGAAGGTTGCCGTGGTGACACGAGCAGCGCAAGAGCCGGCCAGGAGAACGGGTAGTTGCTCCTAGCGACCATGAATTTTCAAGGCGCTCGTGCGGCACCGACGGATCCTTGCCCTCTGCGGTCAAGATCGACCGTGGCCTCACTCCCCCCGGTTGGCGAACAGCTTTGTCGGTCGTCGCATATAATGCGTGAGTTAACAATGCTGGTTTTCGTCATTTTCGGAGTTGATTCTGTGTAGCGGCTGACGTCGGCAGACTCGTCGTCGGCGCAACGTCAGAAATTGACGGAAGCAACGTGGTGCGAGTTGACATTCTTCACGTGGTCGTCAACTGCGCACGAAATTTACGGAGAATGATTGCATGCAGCAAGTGGCGTCAGGCTTCTCGTCACGTTGTGCATGAGTCCGTTGGACGTCTTCGGCAAGTGGCGCGTTGTCACTGTGCGCGAAGATTTCGGGTAGCAGCACGTGGAAAACGACTGTTGGGCGAGCAACCATGCGCAAGGTGATTTGCGTCAGAAAAACCGACGGAGAGGAGAGGTGGCGTGACGACTGCCCGAAGAAAGCGGAGGTCTACCATCGTCCCGCCCGGGTGCAGCTGGCGTTGCTGCAGGAGGGTGCGTCGTGGGTGTTTTTCGGCAGGAGCGGCACAGTGTGGGACGGAAGTTATTTTCAAACCACCGAAAAGTTCGGAAAAGGGCGCCTACGACTAGACTGTTTGCGTTAGGGTCACTTCTGTGCTTGCAACGAAGTCGGCGAAAATTTCGGAGCAACAGCAGCAGCCGACACTGTACTTAAGGCGACACAGGTTCCCACTGATCAAGGGAAGTTGCGCCGTGTCAAACATATATGATATAGCCTGTGTAGGCTGTAGTGGGGTAGACACAATGGGGTACAGCTTTTCTAGGTTTTGATAGTACCCATCTCCTTCCTAGTCGACATTCATTCCTCGTACATTTCTCACATGGTATAGAGCGGGTTCCCAAGTGGGACCGTTTTTTTAGGGCCCACCACTTAATATTTTTTTTTTCTGCCCTGCCCGAAGCGCGCTCCTTGCCCTGTCGCGCGCCTCGCGCCTGCCTTACCTGCGCCCCGTGCGCCTGCCCTGCCGTCGCGGCCCTGACTAGAGCCGTCGCGGCCCTGCCGTCGCGGCCCCTGCCGTCGCGCCCCCCCCTGCCGTCGCGGCCCCTACCGTCGCGGCCCCTGCCGTCGCGGCCCCTGCCGTCGCGGCCCCTGCTGTCGCGGCCCCTGCTGTCGCGGCCCCTGCCGTCGCGGCCCCTGCCGTCGCGGCCCCTGCTGTTGCGGCCCCTGCCGTCGCGCCCCCCCCCCCCCTGCCGTCGTGGCCCCTTGCCGTCGCGGCCCCTGCCGTCGAGGCCCCTGCCGTCGCGGCCCTGCCTGATCCCGTCACGGCCCTGCCGCCCTGCTGACGCGGCTCCGCCGCCCTCCAGTCGCGGCCCTGACTTCCGCCGTCGCGGCCCTGCCCTGCCGTCGCGGCCCTGCCATCCTGCCGTAGCGGCCCTACCTGGAGCCGTCGCGGCCCTGCCGCCCTGCTGTCGCGGCCCCGCCTGAAGCTGTCGCGGCCCTGCTCGGCCGCTGTCGCGGCCCTGCCTGCAGCTGCTGCGGCCCTTCCTACAGCCGCAGTCGCGGCCCTGCCTACTGCCGTTGTTGCGGCCCTGCCTACCGCCACCGTTGGCGGCCCTACCCTGGTAAGCGCACCGCCGCACCCGCGCCGCCCTTGCGAGCCGCGCCGCCCTGCCAAGTCGCGCTGCTCCTGCTGCTACTGCTCCTGCTAGGCTATTGCTGCTGCTCCTGCTGTCATGGCTAGCCCTAATGTCCTTACCTTCGATGCTGAGGGTCGAGCAGTCGATTTTGAGGTCTGGGTCGATGATCTGCAGCTTTTTCTGCAGTGTGACTCTAAGGACGGAGTCTCACTGTTCGACCACACGTCCGGCGTCGCTGTTGACCCTGCTGCCGATGCTGATAGTACAGTTCGCTCACAGTGGACCACACGCGATGCTGCTGCTCGTCTAGCTGTCCGTAGTCACCTGCCGTCTGCTGAGCGCGCGCACTTTAGCCAGTACAAGACCGCTAGGACTCTGTACGACGCTGTTGTTGCGCGCTACTCATCCCCTGCCACTGCTGCCCTTAGCCGCCTCATGCTGCCGTACCTGTTCCCTGACCTAGCTGCTTTTGCCACGGTCGCTGACCTCATTACGCACCTCCGCACTAGTGACACCCGCTACCGCGCTGCGCTTCCTGCCGAGTTCTGCGCCGCGAACCCCCCCCTATGTACATCACTCTCTACTACCTCGTCACCCGGCTCCCTGACTCCCTTCGCTCGGTCAGGGACCACTTCCTCTCCCTTTGCCCCACCATGCTCACCGTTGACCTCCTCGAGGAGCGCCTCCTTGCAGCAGAGAAGAGTATAGTCACTGTAGGAGCCTCTCGTGGTGACCCTCGTGCCCCTTTCTTTGAGGGGTGCTCCCCTGTCCCTCTTTTGCCCTCTGTTACCTCTGCTGCTGCTGTCAACCTCGTTGGCACCGAGTCGGTCGGAGCTGCGTCTGCTCCTAGTGGGAGGCGCCGCAGCGGCAGGAGCAAGGGGGGCAAGGGTGCTAGAGGGGATGGCGGGGGCGGCGGTGGTGGCGGTGGAGGCGGTGGAGGGGGTGGGGGTGGAGGTGGGGGTGGTGGCGGGAGTGGGGGCTTCGGTAGCGGTGGTGGAGGTGGAGGCGGCGGAGGCAGCGGCAGTGGGGGTGGAGGTGGCGGCGGCGGCGGCGGTGGGGGTGGCGGCGGCGGTGGTGCTGGTCGGGGTGGCGCTGTGCAGCGGGGAGGCTTTGGCGGTGGCCAGCGCCAGCAGCAGCAGCGCCCTCGTAAGACCCTGTCGCCCCAGCAGCTTCGTGAGTGGTACGCTGGGCGTGGGAGGTCTAGGGGTGCTGGTCCCTGCACTTACGTTCTCCGCACCGGCGACCGCAGTGGAGAGACGTGCGGCGGCCCGCAC